AGAGTACGTGGAGGGGAGTAGAGTGAGATGAGAGGTAGGAGAGTGCGTGGCGGGGAGTAGAGTGAGATGAGAGGTAGGAGAGTGCGTGGAGGGGAGTAGAGTGAGATGAGAGGGGAGAGGTAGGAGAGTATTTGGAGGGGAGTAGAGTGAGATGAGAGGGGAGAAGTAGGAGAGTGCGTGGCGGGGAGTAGAGTGAGATGAGAGGGGAGAGGTAGGAGAGTGTTTGGAGGGGAGCAGAGTGAGATGAGAGGGGAAAGGTAGGAGAGTATTTGGAGGGGAGTAGAGTGAGATGAGAGGGGAGAGGTAGGCAGGAGTGAATCCATGGAGGATATTGAGGGTGGTGTCACGGTGTGGTCGATGATCGGGGATCGTGCTGCTGGGCACCCGTGGAGGATCTGCAGATGCGGTGTTGTGGTCTGGTTTGCGGTCTGGGTGCTGAATCTGGATTTTATATTTTTTATTCATAGCGCAGCCAGGGCCGCAAGCGTGCACACGCTGAGCTCTGCATACAATCCCTGGGGCCAAACAGCTGCAGATAAATATTTGGCATACGGATCATATTTACACATGCAGCGTATACAATACCCACGCACACTTCTGCTTTCGTACATTTGATTTACCAACTTCGCACACGGACGCGTGTCTCAATGAACGTTTGCACTTCAATGAACACTCCTCGTCCAGTCCACCTCTGTGGATGTGACCGGTCCTGTGCCACCTTCCGGTCTACCTGCGACAACAGAAAACGATGTCTGCACCCAGCACACCACATCCAGTCTAGCTCTGGCTATGGCTCTGGCTCCGAATAGTCACGTGCCGCCACCTATTCCAGTCCACTCGGAGCGATTTGCAAAATATTCGGTGACAAATGAAGCCTGGCGATGAGGTTACAAGGAATGGCACGCAGCCACAATGGGACGTTCTCCGGGCAGATGGAGCGATGGAGTCAGCTGTTGAGTGCACAGCGGTGGCTCGGAGATGTTAAATACCTCGCCTGGTATGCAGGAGGTCGTGGCTTCGATCCCGACCCTGACGCCTGTGTAGAGTTTGCGTGTCTCTTTCCCCGTGGTGTGATGTTAACTACCTCGCTTGGTATGCAGGAGGTCGTGGCTTCGATCCCGACCCTGACGCCTGTGTAGAGTTTACGTGTCTCTCTCCCCGTGGTGAAATGTTAACTACCTCGCCTGATATGCAGGAGGTCGTGGCTTCGATCAAGACCCTGACGCCTGTGTAGAGTTTGCGTGTCTCTCTCCCCGTGGTGAGATGTTAATTACCTCGCCTGGTATGCAGGAGGTCGCGGCTTCGATCCCGACCCTGACGCCTGTATAGAGTTTGCGTGTCTCTCTCCCCGTGGTCGCGTGGATTTTTCTCCAGGGTCCTCTGGTTTTTCTCTCCACGTTTAGAAACACGCGTCAAGAGTATTTGGCTGCTTTACATTTCCACGTCATAAGCAGCTTCGTTCGGCTAGCTATCATTTGTGGCCAGGTCGCTTTTAAAAACGAGCTATATAGCTCTGCGGCCTTACCTGGTTAGATATAAAATCAAGTAATTATATTCGCTGAAGAAAAGTAAGTGGGCTTTGGGCAGGACACGGCCCTGGATGAAATGATTTCAGCTGGTTGAAACTATCGATGGAACGGCAGACGGAGGAGGGAAAAGACGCACCTGACAGCGCGTCGAGCAGCTGAGAGCGACAATGACATCGGCTCGTGCACGAGCAGAGAGAGGCTCTGGGTGCATCTTTACATCGCGGCGTCGTGAGAGGAGGCGGCGACGGCGGCGGCGGCTTGGGGGCTCTGGGTGCATCTTTACATCGCGGCGTCGTGAGAGGAGGCGGCGACGGCGGCGGCGGCTTGGGGGAGCGTCAGAGCCGGCCCAGCCACTAAGCGACCCTTGCAATTGCAAAGGGCCCCGTGGCGAGCAGAGGGCCCCCTAGAGTCACTGCTAGCTAGTGGGTGAAAAAAATCATACATCAAAGGGACCTCCAACCAAATTTTGCTTAGGGCCCCCAAAGGTCTAGGGCCGGTTCTGGGAAGCGTTCATTCGGTGGCGCGTGAGTGCGGCGGGCGTCGGAACGCGCTGGAGGTGACTGCGGACTCGATCCCGCGACGCTCACTGAGCGCCTCGAGCGAGGAGTCAGAGACGCGTGGAGTGGGAGCAGCGGAGAGTGGAGAGAGAATTGAGGGCAGGAGAGAGAGTGGGAGATCAGGTTTAGAGAGTAGAAAGGTGAAAGATTGGAGAAAGTGGGGTTTCCCTCCACAGTTAGAAACATGCGTTTAGATTATTTATATTAATTGGCTGCTATAGATTTCCACATAAGCCACTTCCATAAGAGTTTTCTTTTGGGTGAGATCGCGTAAATATGTGTTGTTAAAACCCGCCACCACCCGACACAGCCAACTAGTAAGGGTTGTCACGTAAACAGAACGTGGCCAATTCGTCACTAGTACAGCACTAGTGTAGTGTATAGTGTAGTATACTAGTACAGCACACCGGTGTGTTGGAGAGCCAGGCCACAACATTAACAATCTGAGTACGACGTTTCGCCAGTAATTACAACTAGCTTCATCAGTCGACAGCAATACGTGTGGTCACCACATCTACGCCTCTATATAAGGACACGAAACAGGCGGACTTCTTCACAAATCTGTCTGTGGTGGTGGCGGGTTTTAACGACACATTTATATATTTACGCAATCTAACCCAAAATAAACCTCTATTATGGATGACATTGGTCGCGAAAGCCTCCTACGTGTTAAAGTAAGCCACTTCATTGAGCTATCATGTGGCCAGGCCGTTTCTGAAACAGAAGCTAATAGCTCAGTGGGCTTTACCTGGTAAAATTAAGAGTTTAGTTTTATTTGTATTGTTTTTAACGATGTTTTCCTTTCTTATACTTTGCACTCCTGTCGTGTTTTAGTTTTGTTGTTGTGACGTTCTGACCCGCCCCCTACTGGACATCTGCGACAAAAAAAGCTTTACAGCTCATCGGATTCCTCCTCCAGTAATAAATACAGATTCTGAAAGATGTGAGAGTCATGAGAGTTGTACGGGGAGGAAAAGCGGATAGGGGGGGAGGAGAGTGTGGAGAGAGTCTTGTGGCACTGCGTCTTGAGCCAGCAGGGCTTTGCTTGGTAAATAGAATGGAATGACATCGCCACAGTGGCTAGGAGATGTTAACAACCTCGTCGAGTGATAATTGTTTTTTTACCCTTTTATCTGGCAACAAAACTGACACCTTTCTTTACAAGGAGTCATGTTTGCATAGACCACAATACCTGCAGTCATAATGCAAACAAAAAACATAACTCTAATTATCATAGATATGTTTTTTGTTTGCATTATAATTATCAGTTGTTTTTTGTTTGCATTATGACTGCAGGTATTGTGGTCTATGCAAACATGACCTCGTCAAGTATGCAGGAGGTCGCCCTCTACATTTAGAATCATGCGTTTCGAGTATTAATTCGGCTGCTATACATTTCCACGTGATAAGTCCCTTTGTTGAGCTATCATTTGTGGCCAGTTCGCTTTTGAAAAAGCTGTACAGAGCTCAGAGGATCTTATCTGGTGAAATAAAACGTAGTGTTAGTTTTTTGACCATTATTGTTAACTGGAGATTCTGCAATGATCGATATGGCACACAAAAAACGCTTCCTGCATATAATCCCAACCCTAAATCGCTACAATTGCATCAAATCGTGAGCCTTACAGAACATCACAAGATTTCATAAGAGGTGTTTTGGGTTAGATCGCGTAAGTATATAAATGTGTCGTTAAAACCGACACCACCCGACACAGCCAACTAGTAAGGGTTGTCACGTAAACAGAACGTGGCCAATTCGTCACTAGTACAGCACACCGGTGTGTTGGAGAGCCAAGTCACAACATTTACAATCTGAGTACGACGTTTCGCCAGTAATTACAACTAGCTTCATCAGGCGACAGCCAGAAGTGTGGTCACCACATCTACGCATCTATATAAGGAACGAAACAGTAAGACTCTCTACAAATCTGGTTGTCGCCTGATGAAGCTGGTTGTAATTACTGGCGAAACGTCGTACTCAAGATTGTAAATGTTGTGGCTTGGCTCTCCAACACCGGTTAGTGCTGTACGAGTGATGAATTGGCCACGTTCTGTTTACGTGACAACCCTTACTAGTTGGCTGTGTCGGGTAGTGGCGGGTTTTAACGACACATATTTACGCGATCTAACCCAAAAAACTCCATTACGGATATTGGTTGCGAAAGCCTCCGACGTGTCACAAGATTTAGGAGTGCCGACTGGAAGGCCAAGCCAGCGTGGGGTGCACGGATTCATGGATGACTATTGTTACACATTCATCCCCCATCAATCGCGTAAGAGTAGATGTTTTTCAATTCGTACGCGTCGTGTGTATTTAATGGTACAGCGAGTTTGAGGAGGTCTTCGTCCGGCAGCGGAGAGTCCATGGCTCACGGTGATTAAAAGGTGGACGTAGTCGATTCACGTGACCACTCCGTTCACTAGAGGCGCACACATTGTTCTATTGAAGAAACGTGTTAACACCCTTATCCATTGGGGCGCCACGGTGGCTAGAAGATATTATCTCCCTCGCTTGGTAGACAGGAGGTCGTGGATTCGATCTCGACCATGACGTCTGCTGCTGTATATTTGGAGTTTACGCCTCTCTCCCCGTGGTTGCGTGGAAATTTCTCCGGTTTTTTTCCTCCACATTTAATCATCATGCGTTCAGAGTATTTGGCTGCTATACAGTTCCACAGAAGCCAATACGTTGAGTTATCATTTGTGATGTAGCTGTATCATTTGTGATAGCTATGTCACTTCTGAAAAAGGGCAATATATAGCTGTGGGCCTTACCTGGTAAAATAAAAAAAATAGTTGTATAGCTATTGAAGCTTTGACAGTGCTGTTTGTTACTGGCCTCTCTTGACGTTTTGGGCCTCAGGCCCCGCGCTCGGCAGCAGTGACAAGAAACAAAACGACACCAACACACCGCTTCCGAGAGGGACAAGACGCACACCCACCGAGGCTTTTTTGCAAAGTGGGTGCAATTTGTATTCATTGTTTCATTTTTACTTTACATTCATTTGTTTCCAGACACAGCCACAAGGCATTAGAATAAATAATCCCTCCGAGAAAGGAGAAAATTGTAGCCAGGGAAACAATACCAGGCTTGAATGATGCGTAGGAATTGCACCAGACCCCAAAAGCAATTTCCATCTACGGACAACGGCGGTTTTACGCGGAGGAGAAGCCATGGCAGAGCGGGAATTGCTGTCAATTATTGACAAAAGAAAATAACAATTCTTGGCATCAAAATGAAATTGATAACAAAAATCAAGGCCCGACGCGATGTGGGAGCCGTTACAAGCTTGGGGAGACGGCCGCGGAGATGTCACGGGGATTCTACTCCAGCGTGGCAAAAATATCCCCAAAATATATTTGCGCGTGGACAAGCGGAGTTCTCTCCAAAGCTCTCCGACACGAGTTTGGGGGTCGTGCCGCGCGTCCTTCGGCAAGATGTCCCACGTGCTCCGTTCGCGCGGGAGCTCTGAGCGCGCCGCACGGGAACGTCGAACATCGTGCCGCACGGCACGACCTGCAGACAGAGCGGGGACCCAAACAGCGAAAAACCGACGCAGAGGTTTCTCTAAGCCTACAGCCGCGCAAGCGTGATGCAAAGCAGGCGAAGAGCATTTCCGAATGTGGCGTCTGTTGCGAGAGTTTGCGATTGCACGTGGCGACCCTCATGACCTTTTGAGCAAACTCAACGCAAAACTGAGAAGCAATGTAAAGATGTGCGAGCATTCTTTCACAGTAGTACGCGTCGTGTATGGACACACACACACATATATACTACACATCAGGAATAAAACAAATCCCTCCAGAGAGTGGTTTAACCCTACGACCGCAAAATAATATTAACAATTCCAGTTTAATGGAAAGTAGTGCCGGCACAGGTAGCGGAGGATGTTTAATCTGTGGCCCGAGCCGATGGTTCGAATTAACGAGCACGGACACAATCGCTGGGCCGACATTACGTCACGTGGGAGGCTTCATTTCAACCGGGCCGGTCCGGTGTGCCGGCGGCCCAGAAAAAATTTCCACTCCCGGCACACCGCATCCAGTATACCCCCTCTCGCCTCGACTGCTTCTACAACTCACGTGCCACCTAGTCTAGTCGAGTACCAGCGAGCCAGAAAACAATTGCCCAAAACGTAATGCTCAAGTGGCCCGCTGATCACTTCCAGCTACCGCCTGGCGCTCCCAAGGGAAAGACGCGACTTCCCCTACGATGCGCCTTCAGGTTTGTTACCACGTGTAATTCGGCACGATACTCGAATATTCCGTGGCTCAAGAAGCTCCCAGCAGGAGCTGCGAAACATCGGTCATCGTGGCAGGGTAAAGGAGAAAAACATTTAGCCTTGCATTATTTAACAGCGATGCGATTTTCATTCAGCTCATTGGGCTTAATTTAATGAGGTGAGATTCCAGCGAGTTGAATTATCACATCTGTGAGAGGGAGACCTGGACAATTCCACTTAGCGGGGACAGTTACGCCAGCTTTGTTCGCACCAACATTTTTAGGCGCGAATCGTGTTCACATTACGGGTGCCCGTTTGAGACTCGGGCACACGGCGGGGCTGCTCGTGCGAACGACGTCGCAGTCTCGATAACGTCCTCCGCGCAGCGGACGGCGCACGCGAGACAACAAACCGGGTGGCAGCAGCAGCAGCCGCAGGAATCGAACCTTCGTCTCGGTTCAAAGTGGCGAACACTCGGACCCGCGCGGCCACCCAACGTTGCATTGCGAACACCCGTGGCGTTATTCAGCTATGCCCTTCCTTCTGGAGACCAGGTCACTGGGTGCGGTACAGGTGGCTGGGCATGCCCCTTGGAAAAAAAAATATTCCATGACACCTGGAAAAAAACAAACAACTGCAGCATTGCAGTTGTTTGTTTACACCACTACTGGCAGAACGGCGTTCACTCGAGGGAGCTGTAGACAGCCCCATCTAGAAGGTATTTTTTGGCCTACTCTTCCACGCTGGCCAAACGTCTCGGGGAAAAGAGTACCCAGACTTTACCTGCCGATCGACCGTGGTGTTAACCGCTTTCACTTCTGGGTAGACAAGACGCGGTGGGAGTGGTGGGGCAGTTTAAGAAACGTGTCCAATTATTTCAACCTCCCCACTAGGAGGTCGAACAGAACCGGCGACCTCTGCATCGCAAGTCCAGTGTGCTGACCATTGCACCGCAGCTCGCGACAAATAATGAGACGCGGCGGCGGCGGCGGCACAAGCGGCCGTCGGCAGAGCTCCAGTATCGCCAGTGCCCAGCCGCGCTGCCCACGCCACGGCTTCCCCTCGAGCCGGCGTCCAGACCCACGCCAGTGGATCGCCCATTCAATTCGCGCAGTCGTCCCCCATCCCATGCCCCCAGCCCTAGCCGTCGGTCCCATCCGATTGTCATTAGCGGTCACAGATATGGAGTCAAGCTTTTCCGCTGGATTGGCTACGGGTGGCGTCACGAGTCGGGGGTGCGAGTTCTACGTTTTGGCAAACGCAGGCTCCGCCGTGACGACGGCCGAGGTTCAAGTCCCCGGTTTGCCGACCCGGCTGGAGGGGCAACAGGTCGCAATGTAGTCCCAACGTCCGCACGACCGGCAGCTTCGCGACCGCCCGCGCCCTGCGCTCGTCGTCCCACTGCGAGCGCGAGACGACTCTTTGTTGCCGTAAACCGGCGGGTGGGCAGCCTCAATTACCTCGCGCGCACAGCCACTCACTCGTTCACAAACGCGCGCCTCGGCCGCTTCCACCACCCGCGAGAGAGGCCCTTGTGGCAATTGAAGTGACTGAGCGCGGCGCTAAAATTAGAAACCGTCAGGTGAAGAAAATATTCCCCCTCCCCTCGTGCGGCTTGCAGCGAGGGATAAATGTTGTGTTGGCCGATGTTTCGAAGCGGGGGGCCTCACGTGGCGGCCGCGGGCAGTGTGAAGGCCAAGTCGCGGGGGGCAGTAGCTTCCCCCACCACTCCCGTAAACAAATCAGGTAAACATTTCGGCCCCCCTGGAGTTAAAAGCAACTCCCCTCGTCGGGAGCTTGACGCGGCCCATGTGCTTTGGCCAGCCGGCTCGCCCACGCGCAGGCGACTCAACAAACACGACCGGCTAATTCGAAACAGACAACCCGACCGTACTGCAGAAGCGTCACGCGGCACGCACACGCTGCACGGTGTCTTGACGGAGGAGGATTTTCCCATATCTTCGTGACCCCCAATCCCGGGTCAGTTTTTCCACTTTCTCCCATTTACCTCCTTTCAAGTACAAATTGAGTTCTTGGGCAACACGAGTGCCTGATTTAGTTTGTTGTCCTTCCCCCGCACCTCCGACTAGCACGGTTGGCTACGTACGGTGCGCGAAAGAAGTTCAACACGCGTACATCTCGCTAAACAAGGTCACACGGCACACGCAGAGAAGGGCGATCCGAGCCGAGTCGTGATCGCAAAGCGGCGGCGTCGTCGGGTGTGCGAGGGCGTGCGGCGTGCAACGACAATTTGTCGTTGAAGCGGAAGAGCGCGACGACCGTGACGTGGCGGTCCGCGGCGTCTGGGAAAACGCCGCTATAAAGTGACCCCTCACCCCTACCGCTCCCGCGTTGCTCACAAGCCAGACAACCCCCCCCCCTCCTTCTCCGTACATGTCGGAGTGCCGGGGGGGGGGGGAGGGTGGGGGCTCGGCGCCGGCAGCGCCTCCGGCTTTCAGTGGGACCGTAATGCACCGGCACGTGACACACGGTCAACAATGCACTGCTTCAGTGGCGGTGTCGCGTTTCGGTTAATGCACCGGTGCGTGGTACAGTATTCCGTATTTCCAGTCTCCCCTTCTCGGCGAGCGCGTCAACACCGGACACTGCGCGACACGTCAACGGGCCACGAAACGCAATCCGCTCCCCGAGAAGCAATGTCCGCGGGGGGGAGGGGGGGGGGGGGGGCCGGTCCCCGGGAGCGAGCCGCTTTCTCGACGACAGTCCCCTCTCTCCCGTTACGACGGGACGGGCCATCGGCAAAGGCGCGCACTCCCAGACTTCGTGTCGCCGCTTCGCACCGCGTTGCCTTTTCTTCTTTTTTCTCCTTCCCGTAAATTGCATTTGTTTGGAAGTTCAAACAATGCCACAAACCGAGGCTCAAGTCGGTTCGGCAACAGGAGCAGCAGCAGTAGCAGCAGCAGCAGCAGCGGCGAGACTTCCACATTCTCCCCTGGGTTCAGAGGGTTCAACCAGCAGAGAAATCCCGAGGGTTGCTCTGCACCGCTTTTTGTAAGTTTTTTTCTCCAAGCGTTCACAGGCAGCGCCGTCGCATCCCCCCCCCCCCAGCTCCTTCCACTCGAGAGTCAGTTCGGCGGCGACGGTCGTGACGGCAGCATCAGCAGCAGCAGCAGTTTCGGCAGGAAAACATCGCAGCTGTGCGTTGTTCGTCTGGCTGGCACGGTGCGACCGCTGCGTCTTAGCGAGGGACAAATCTACTACGGGGGAAAAGGAGGGAGAGGCCGGGAGCTGGGAACCCGAATGCGGAGAAAGGAGGCAGCCGGGACGGGGGGCGGCGGCGCCGGCGGCGGTATGGGTCGTTCGTCTCCGTTGTGCGGCGCTCTCGTCAGATGCTGGGTTTGGACGCGATGCTGCCGTTGCGGAGGGCGCCGTTGTGGCCGGCGAAGAGGCGCTGCTTCTCGTTGCCGTTGCGCGAGAAGACCGTCTCCTGGTCCGAGTCGAGGTCCGAGTCGGACACCATGATGCTGGTGCTCTGCTGGGGCCGCTTCTTCCTGATGCCTGTGCCGGCGGCGCCCGGGGGAGACGCGCGGGGGTCAGAGAGACACGCGGGGGTCAAAGAAACGCGTGGGTCAGAGAGACACGGGCGTCACACGACTGAGTTGCCCCCACTGCACCAGCCACGTTCTACTGTCTCTGACTTCTCATCGCGTGTTTACTGCGCCACTTTGTTAGACCTGGGCCTCCCCTTGAGAAATAGCTGGGTCTTGGTCTCAATGAGTTCTCATGGACACGTACAGCCCTTCCGTTAAACCACTGCCGGATGAGCACCATCCATGGTCGTGGCGGCTATTTTGACATTTCACCACACTCGTTGGTGAATGCAGGGGGCGTAGATGTGGGTGCACAGAATTACAGTTCCACAATAGATGTTGCTGCACTGCCTCTGCTGTCCACCACGTAGCAGCTTGACTGTGCGTGGTTGGTGCTTGTATGGGCACCAAGGACCAGTTCAAGACGATATCACTCGCCACTGATGTTAGCCGTGGCCGGGAATCGAACTCAGGTTGGTTATCGGGTTCCCAGTGCAGTGCGCAAACCACAGCGCCACCACTTGCCCCCGCATCCCTCTCTGACTCGAAATACAATTATAGAACATTTAACTTGAAAACACTGTGCTCTTCAAAAAGTACGGCTTGAATTCAAATAATGTCGCGCGAATGTTAACTCCTCTCTGCCTTGTTGTGATGACAGCCCTGGCTATTGCTCAATAATCCGTGTCGCTATCCTCGCGTTCCCTAGACCAGCCTGCAACACACAACACAGAGCGGACGCGCGCACACACACGCAAGCACAAATGGTTGCAGTTTCACGACAGCAACATTGGGTTTGGAAGTTACCCACCAAAAAAAGTAAAATCGTCATTAAATTATCCGACGCAGAATGCTTCGAATCATCACGACCCACCATCGCGATTCAAGCATCGCTTCTTGCGAGACAATTACGACACCGACCGAGAGCAAATCATTGATTCCCACTCGCACGTTTTGACTCACGGGTCGTGGAATGACGATCCCCAGTCGTTAAAACTCCTCGACTTGTGAGGGTTGGTGGGGGGTTGGTGAATGATTACACGCCGCGTTATTGCAGTGACCCCCACCCTCCGTTCATTACTCAACACGGACGACCTCTGTCAACGCGTCTCAAACGCCCCAGGACGGTGCTCGCCGAGCCTGGACGCTGAACGGCGAGTCCGGGCGTGTCAGGGAGAGCGCATCGGCTGCTCCGGTGCTCACTCTGGCATTGTTAGCCTTCTCACAGGCTCCCCCACCCGCCCGCCTCTCTCCTGGACAAAACCTCGCCGGTTGAGGTGCCGTGGCACGCCAAGACCTCGATGGCACCCTCTGCTGGCCGACCTGCTGGAATGCAGCCCGTGACTCCTTTGGCACGACCACCAACGGCGGCCATCGTTATCACGAGGCTCATTCGACCACAACGACCGGTTGGTTCCTCTCATTCAGGCTGCGTTAATAATGATTATCATAAATACAATTTATTGGTTGCGCACGTCTCACCGAACGGACGCATTGTGTTCAACCACCAAGATTTATCTTTTTTCCTCGCACTGCTCTACTTTTCCCGAGTAACTTTGGTCAATTCAATGAACACGTTAGTTCTCATCTCCTATATGATCACATTCGTGCTGTCCTGTGTTCCACCCAGTTACGTTCCGATTGTGCCGTTGGCATTTACATTGGAAACTATCGCAGCGAGCAGTGCACTGCCTTGAGTCGGAGAGCAACCCTGGGAGAGAGGCTGGATCTATACAGAGCTCCCCCTCGTTGGAGTCCCTTCCGCCAGCAGTGGCATGAGAGCGAGCGATTGCAGGGCTGCACCTTTACCGTTACCCCGCCCGTCAACTGCGGACCAGGCCCCCCGCACGTTACAGGCTTTCAGGCCGACGCCGAACAATGTTTAGAGTAAGTTATTTATATTTGTTTACCCGCGGTGCGACTGCGGGAGCACCCACCCCTGTGGCTGGGCTTCATCTCCATCTCGTGGTCGTCCATGTTGTTGAGCATGCTGTAGCGTGGCTTCCGGCGATCCTTCGACCGTGCCCTAAGAGTGAAAACCCACACGGCAGCGTCAGGCACCGCGCCCCCTCCCGCAGCCAAGACAGCAGCGAAGGTAGCAACGGCGGTGATGGTGGTGATGCTGGTTTTGGCGTGAGTGGTGGCGGTGGTGACGGTGGTGGTGGTGGCGGCAGTGGTGATGGTAGTGGTGGTGCTATTGTTGATGTCGGTGGCAGCGTTGATGGTGGTGGCAGACGAGAAGGGGTCGAGCGGACGCACGTACCTCCGGCACCAGCACACGGTGAGCCACGCCAGCAGCCCCACGGTCACCGCCACCGCGAACGTCGTGAGCGTCACGTAGAGCACGCTCCAGTCTGGGAGACACAAGGATGAACATCAAAGATCCGCCAACGCCCCCCACGTGCACCGTGTAACAAGGACTGTCGGGGCAAGCGCTGTTGGGCGAGGAGCCTACGAAGGCCGGCACGGTGTGTTGCACAACGATTCTGGCTAACAAAGGCCCAGGCCTGGTTCTCGCACGACTGCCACCGACATTAACTGTATCCAGAAACCAGCTGCAGTGGATTTGTAGCACAGCGCGCGAGCCACGACATCACTGCTCTGTAGACCAACATGTAACACGAAGATCCCACCATGTATAGCCCACAAACTATCAAAACAAGTTCTCTTAGAAAGCACCTAGTTAGGCCTATGTGGTTCACGAGGAAGTGCTGTAGCCAGAACCACATCCGGCCGCCTATTCACCCCAGTATTGATGTTTACTCACATCACCAGTTCCCATGTAGGGCTGAGTCATCCCAGTAAAGGCCCAGGAGCAGTTTAGAATAAGGGAATTTACATGGCTCAACAACTTGAAGCGCCTCGCATAAAATCGGCAACGTTCCGATGGCCCAATGCAGATCAGCCGAGGGGACCCCCAGCGGTAGCTGTCCCTGCACAGCACAAGGCCTACGTAGCACCGGCCTGCGAGTGGGCATCAGTCTGCTAGTTCAGATAAGCGCCATCGACGTTAGCCGTCGCCGGGAGCCGAACTCGGGCGACCAGCTTCATAGCGCAGCACGCAGATCCGCTGCACCGCCCGCCTAGTACGCCCGAAGGCTACACGTCACCGCAGCCTTACCGCAGTTACTCTCGCCGTCGCCCAGCTGCGTGCGGATGACGTTCTCCATCCAGAACGGGAAGCACGTACAGCGCTTGGTGAACGAGTCGCAGCGGCCGTGGCCCGAGCACGCCAGCTGGCACACTGCTCGCTCGCAAGCCGCGAGCATGCACGCGCGCGCGCGCACAGAGGTGAAGATCACCCACGTAGCCTTTTCTAGATTGTTTTCTCACCGACTCCGCCCGTTACCTTTAGCCCAGATATATCCCGGCTTAGGATTGGATACCGGTTACCCGATAGTGGCCGTGCAGTTACCCCTTGTCGCCCACTAGATGGCGCTCTCTTACTACACGAGTACAGCACACCGGTGTGTTGGAGAGCAAAGCCACAAATCTGGCTGTCGCCTGATGAAGCTGGTTGTAATTACTGGCGAAACGTCGTACTCAGATTGTAAATGTTGTGCCTTTGCTCTCCAACACACTGGTGTGCTGTACTAGTGACGAATTGGCATGTTCTGTTTACGTGACAAATATTACCAATTGGCTGTGTCGGGTGGTAGCGGGTTTAATGACACATTTATATATTTACTCGATCTAACCCAAAAAAACTCTTATGGACAAATCTCAACACTTGCATGCATTGCCTGGTATCTGCCACATATGCCAGGCCATGGCCATCATCCGTGGCGAGCGAGATATCTTGACACATCCTGGGGCATGACCCTTCACAAACCCACTAGTGACCACCACGGTGAAGAACGGTCAAACAACCCCTTTCACCGACACGGCTTGGGGAAGGAGGCCTTCGTCCAGCATAGGATTGAAAAAGGGTTGTAACTTGAACTTCTTTAGCACTGTACATAGCCAACCGTGTTGATCGGAGGTGACTTATCATGTGGAAATGTATAGCAACCAAATAGTCTAAACGTGTGACGTTGATTCTAAAAATGTGTAAAGGAAAACTAGAGGACCCGGTAAAAAATCCACGCGACCACAGGGAGAGAGACACGCAAACTCCAAATATACAGCAGGCATCAGGGTCAGGATCGAACCCACGACATCCTGTCAAGCAATCTCTAAATCCGTACGCGTTTTAGCACGATTCGTGTATGAGTAAAGTAGCCTCTCTCTTAGCTAGGCACGTCATCTGTCACTACGACGCTCGTGTGCGAGATGGGGGCGATGGGCGGTGCTCACCGAAGGTGTCCACGCGCAGTGTCCGGAACGCCAGCAGGTTGGTCTTCTCCCTCTGCAGGAGTCGCCGCAGCATGCGGGCCACATCCACGCCCTTGTAGATCATGTTGGGCTGTTCCGTGAGCACGTAGAACACCAGCTGGGTGCTGCGCAAGGAGGGACACGGGCCGCGTGAAGAGGACGCGCGCTCGGGCGGAAACCGCCGGCAAAGGTACGGCTCGACCACGGAATTTAATTTTACCAGGTAAGGCCTCACTGAGCTACGTAGCTCTTTTTCAGAAGCGACCGGGCCACAAATGATAGCTCAACGAAGTGACTTATCACGTGGAGATTTACAGCAGCCAAATACTCTAAACGCATGTTTCTAAATGTGGAGGGAAAACCGGGAGTAACCGGAGAAAAATCCATGCGCCCACAGGGAGAGAGACACGCAAGCTCCAAATATACAGGCGTCAGGGTCGGGATCAAAACCACGACCTCTGTTAAAATCGCGTCACCGTAGAGTATCCTAGGGGACGACCGCCGTGGAGATGTCGCGATGAGATCAGTTCAGCAGCACTGAACCGTGAAGCTTGGCGACACCGTGGGGAGGCTTTCATGCAGCAGAAGATAGATAATAACCAATGATATTGTAAAATCCGACTCACAAGTCAGCGAAACACAAGGCCTAATTAAATGACCACTGACAGCATCATCACCTCGGTGAAATGTACACACACTTACCTGAAACCGCACATTTGCAAGGCTCGATAAATGGACTGCCTCTCACCAGTAGCATAGTGCGGTTGACATGTGCCCTGGAATAAGGAATACGATTTCCCCCCCCCCCCTCCACATCCCACAGAAGCCCCCCCCCCCGCTCCGGTTGCACCGCTCCCCCCACGCAGCGATAGCTACGGCGCCGAGCTCTCGCGGTTATCGCGGCGATTGCAGCTAACGAGACGGTTCATAAGGAACGGGGATCCGGCCCGGGTCTTTCGCGCTGCGCCGGCGCGGCGAGCGGGAGGTGCGCTCCATCAGCGACGCCGCTTACGTCGGGCTGCAGGCGCCGCGTTAATTGGGTGCGCGCGTGCACCTGCACTCCCGTGGCCTTCCCCACTGACTGTGATGAACGGATTAATGTGAAGTACGCTGCTGCTGCTGCTGCCTCAATGAACACATCAAAGACCCCGCTGTTAGCGATTCTAAAACCCGGCCATCAAGAAAAACTCAGCAAAAAAATTAATATATATTAGCGTCAGGACATTTTTTACACGTTCAGGCGTGCAAGCGCCCCTTTCTATAAATCAAGGGTTTCTATCGAAGCCCCCCGTCAACCTTCGCTCAGTGGCAGGTCGCTCACACTGCTCTCCCATGGTCTGGAGCTCTCTTCCCTCAACCATCCGTGCTGTCGACTTCGTGCCACTGTTCAAGTCCAACCTCCATACCTACCGCTTCTCCTAGGCCTATAACCGATTGCCTCTATAAAAAATTGAAGTAAATTAGTATGCCCACTGCATCCCTGATGAGGTTGCATTGCGTTACTCTTGTAGGATCTGCACACACGCTGCCAATTCACTTGTCTTTACCCAGCGGAAAGGTGCCACGGTCAAAGCACCTGACCCACAATTGAAAGGTTCCAGTTCAAATTCCGAGTCAGGGGCTCACACCAGACCTCTAAACCTCACGGCCATCCCCACCACCACCACACCCAACTGCACAACCGCCACCACCAGCACAGCCCACGCACCTGCTCTGCGTGTAGGCCTGCAGCCTCTGCACGTGGATGTCCGAGTCAAGGACGCTGAGCAGCACCGACAGCTGGCGGATCAGCAGCTCCTTCTGCTGCTGCTGCAGCTGGCTCACCGGCACGTCCAACACCAGCTCCACCAGCTGCGAGCTCTTGGGGTCTGCGGGCAGTGGCGGGTGGGTGGCGGCAAGTTAGTTTGTCCGGCCGGCCGTCATGTCGGCTCACGCAACACAAACCGCTCCGTCGTGACCTAACGCGCACAAATGTTGCCGAGGAGCACACTCGGCATCAAACCCCCGCCGACGTGTGTATGTTGAACTTCTTTCGGCACCGTACGCAGCCAACCGCGCTAGTCGGAGGTGCGACGATGGCGGCCCTGCCACCGAGGAGCAGCTCCCGATGTCCCGAAATGGGGTGATCACGACTCTCGATGACGGCAAGCGTCCGTGTCTGTCGGTCTCTCACCGGAAAAAATCACGCGCTGCGCAGGAGCTATGGACGGGGTGTGCGGCTGCGCACGCAAGCAACGGGTGGCCAAGCAGTAAATGACGCGTCCATGGTGACGCACACTTAGCGGCAGCAGCTGTGGTGTCGATGCTGCCGCTTGGCTCTATTCAGGAAAATGAGATGCAAGGTTGCAGAGGCAGGGCTCAATATCTGCCGGGTCTGTTTGGCTCGGAGATCCGCAAAATATTTCTGCGCCCGGCACACAGATATAGGATATCTCCCCACTATGGCTGTGGCTACAGACGGAAAATATTTGGCAGGAAATTAAGCAGCTCTCGATAGCAGCGATTTGTCGACTTAAATCAATTGTTACGCTCGCGATGCGTGTGCGGAATTGTGCGAGCGAGGGTCACTTATTAATGATCCCTGGACATGATACGGAAATTATAATTTCGGGTAATGAGAATGTACAAAAACTCTACATTCAAGACAAAAAAAAGCAATACAATTAAACCGTAAAAAGCAAGACAAAAATAAATATAAAAGTATTTGATTCTTGAATCGAATCGTGGACCCCGAATCGTGCAACAACTTAATGGAACCACCGGGGTGGGGAAATTGTTACTCGCATACTCCGAAGCGCAGCGAATTAATGCACAGATCAAGCACATTTCATTTCCCAAGCAGAACAGACAACGGTTTTGTCATCCAAAAGACAAGGGGATAGCGGGCGGGGGGGGGTTATCATCCGAGACGTGCGTCTGTACACAAAACCGCAATGCACAGTAACACAAGCCCACACTCTTGGAGTGCGTTTCCGCTCACACTGAATCAACAGTGGGACGGCGCAAACGGCACCGTAGATGAACGGGGCCATTCCCCTGCCCAAGGCTTGTCGCTCCATTTGGCACCAAAACAGATGGCGCAACAAAGAGAATTAAATTGAAAATGAAACTTATATTAACATAATGAACCTTCTCTCCCGTGCGCATTTCACCATGAAGCCGACATATGCCCATATTGTGCAAACGTAAAAGACATATGCGGCGTGGGGGGGTGGACAGTTGGGGGGGGAGGGGTCGGGGTGGTGCGGCCTTGCTGAAGAGGGCTTACGGTGGGTGGGGATGCAGTTCACAGAATTGTGTTGAAAAGGCGCAGTGAATGAGCCTCTAATTGAGCAGCCCTGGCTGGGCCACCACCCCAGCTCTCGCTCTCCCTCCCTCTCCTCTTCTCTGCTTTCAAAATTTCTCTCGTGCAGCGGAGAAAATGGGCTCACTGCCGTACGACGCAGCCTGGTTTTAATAAAGCGGTTAAATGCAGACCTCATCTCAAGACGCTGTTTAGAAAGACACGCGCGTTGACTGAGGGTGGGAACGGGTGCGGTGACGCGGCCCAGCGGTAGCGCGCTGGCAGCTTGTTGCGGAGGTTCACGGTTCGAATCCGGCAGGCCAGCCTGCTTATTACTGCGAATGTATTAACGATAAAGACTCTGCGCCGTCTGCAACACAGCGGATGGTAAAGATCCCTCACGAGTATGCCGTTGTGTGCCGGCATCTGGGATTATGTCCTTCCCTCGCATCTCCGATTAGCACGGTTGGCTACGTGAAGTGCAAAAGAAGTTGGACATACGTTTTCATTGCCCCCTCCTGGCAGACGACTGCCTGCTAACGTTATTGCGAGGACACGCCGCAGCAATAGAAGATCGACAAGGGGGGAAAGCCCCGCCTGCCGGCGAGCGGGTGCCCAACCGAGCGCGATGCGGAACGGGGAACGGCGGGGGAGGGGGGTGAAGCGAACGCACGAGGGCGCGGCAGCGGCCTACCTGGTTTCACCTCCACCGTGGCCATGTCCTGGCTGCTTTCGCCCTTGTTGTCGGTCACTTTGAGGCGGAACACGTACGTTCCCTCCACCAGGTTCGTGAGCCACAGCACCGGGTGGTGCTCGGAGCTGTTGAGAACCACCTGGGACAAATGCACGCACGCACGCCACCCCGCGGTCACCCGACCTGTCCGTCATTCCGTCACGTCCTCTTTTTGGGGGCGTGGCCCGACGGTGGCGCGTTCGCGGTTCGAATCTGGCAGGCCGCCCTGGTTATACTGTGGTGCCTATTAACCGTGAAAGTACTAAGCACTGCGGATGTCATTTGAAACGAGTAGGCCATTCGAGTCGGTGCCACGCTCCAAATTTGGCAACTTCTAAAAAAATACTCGCTAATCACTCAATTGGGATTACACATATCAACATCCTCCCCTGCTGTACAAATACTGCAGATTGTGTGAAACATAGCAACTTCCTTCGTGATAGTCTTGCCCTATAAGAGTGGCACAAATACCAAAATCACCAAATTAATATGATTAAAAGTTTTGCAGCTAAACACGTGTGAACCGATACCAAATCATCATAAGTAGCCGTTTGTGGCTCCAGGTTGAGGAGGCTACAAAGTCCGCCTCGGGTTTTCCAGTCTCTGGTGGTACCGTGTGGTAAAGGTGAACTGACGGAAAAACTGGAATGTGCTGGCAGTAAGCTTCATGATCAGTGCTTTCTCACATAGAGACCCTCAGACTCGCGCAGAGACCCACAGTCTCACACAAGAGACCCACAGACTTAAACAGAGACCCATAGACTCACACAGACCCATAGACTCACACAGAGACCCATTGACTCATAGACCCAGACTCACACAGAGACCTTTAGAATTATAGAATTAAGCTCAGTTGGAAAGTAATACAAATGAGAGGCGCCGGCGCGACGGAGCACTCACGCCGGCGGCGGGGCTGCTGCCGTCGCGCGTCCACTCGTACGACAGCGAGCCCTGGTCGTCCCAGGAGCGCGACCCGTCCAGCATGACCGTGTCGTCAGGCAGCAGCAGCACCTTGTTCCCGCCGGCCGTGGCGTGCGGGGGTTTGTTGTTCTCTGCGTGCGTGAGTGGGGAGGGGCGCGAGCATGAGCGGGGTGCGGCGCAAGCAGCAACAGCGCCCGGAGTGGGGAACGACGGCACGAGCGTCAACAGGGGTAAACAGCGCCAGCGCGGAGGCAGCGGTAAATGCGCGAGTGTCGACGGGTGACTAGGAGAGGGGGATGTAGCTACTTCCCAAACAGATCCGCCGCTGGTGACTCAGACGTCACGGCACCTGGGGTGAAACCGGGCTCTCGATTGAAGCCGGTTGATGGTCTCGGCAAAGTCGGTACGACCCGAAAACACGTCGGACATCTACAAAGCACAACCGCAAAAACCCACGCAGCAGCGTCGCTCTAGGCCAGGGGTCGGCAACCAAATTAACAAGAAGAGCCTATTTTATTATTCAGTAAAAAAACTCAATATTTCAGGAGCCGCAATGCATGTGGCGAATACAAGACGGTGGTCCTTAATAAACAACGTCACAAAGCGGCCCTTTAAAGAGCCGCGCGCGACTCTGGAGCCGCAGGTTGCTGACCCCTGCCCTAGATCTATAGCCGCAAAGCAGAGCGCAAAACATCTGCGGAGCGCTTCCGAGCGTCGCATCTTCTCCGGATTCCGTGCTTGCACGTGGCCAGTGACCCTACGGCCCTCTGTGCGGAGAGACGTTCGTTTCGTGGGCCGCTCGTGTTGCCGCCGGGCGGGCGGGCGCCGTGAAACTGCCGCGCTGGCGCCGGGCCTCACCCTCTTTGACGGTGACGGTGACGGACGCGGAGCTGCTCAGGCCCTTGGCGTCGAGCACCGTCAGGGAGAAGACATAGGTGCCCACCTGCAGCTCGCTCACCGTGGCCACCGCCTCGTCGACGTGATCCAGCCGCACACCTGGCGGCCCGCTGCTCGCCGCGCACACAAAGATCCCTCATGTAGTCCTTGCAAAGCGAGTGCTGGTTAGTGAGCACCTATGAAGGGCACACGAGACGGGTGGTGCAGCCAGAACCACGCCGGGACACGTTTGTCTCCACGGGTGCTCGTTTACTGCTGAGTCAGCCTGGAGGAGACCCAGGACTGGTTCAGATCAAACTTGCTACTTGAGTTAGCCATGACCCAAAATGGAACTCGGGGTACCCTAACCACTGTGGCACCGCTCCACCCGCTCGCTGAAAGCCCGGATAGCTCGGTCAGTATAATATTTCGATTTAAAGCTTTCGTGACCGCAGGTATTCATATTCTTGGTTCTTTCGGTAAAGTCATGTAGAAGGGAAATAATAAAATAAAATACATAATAAATACAATTCTCACGACGTTTCGAGTGTAACACAAGCAATCATCATCAGGTGTGAAAATCAAGAAAATTTGAAAATATATATATTATCTAAGGGCCCAGGGTTCAAATCCCTGTTCGGGCAATTATATTTTCTTCCACATTCAATAATATTTACATACCCAAGACATAAAAAATATATACTTTGGCCACATTCAATGCTGTTTAAAATAAATCACTCAGACAAAGATCTCGCATGTGGCGTTTAACAGACTGTTGGGGTAAGTGCTGTTGGCCAGCACCCACGACTTCTGATAAGCGCACGATGGGGTGGCATGGCCAGCATCACGCCTGGCCACTTTTGCCTACCCAGTGCTGATATTTGATACACCTGTAATGTTCTTGGAGGGAGACGGAGTCTTCGTAGAGGCAACACGGTTTATTATACCAAACAGTTTACACTTAAACCCTAACACACAAAGGGGTAATGGCCCCTTGTGCGTGTGTGTCAATCATGACCACCACACACCTTACCAGGTAACTCATCTAAGACGAATTTGAGTCGACCTAAGCGAGTCCAAAGACTGCTTCAGATAACTGCCACTGATCTTAACGCTGAATATACAATAATCCATTTAGCTGCGCTGGTCCCTCCTGCCCACCTCTCAGCCAAATCCTATACAACTCCCTCGTATTCTAAAGGTAGTGTGCCCCATCCAAGTACTAACCGGGCTCAAACTTGCTCAGCTTTGCCCACCTGATTTTCTCCCAGTGGTAGGATGCTATGCCCTGGTCGTCGGTGCTCTTGCTGCCATCCAGGCTGGTGCTGTCCACCGGGATGGTCAGTTCCTTGTCAGGCCCGGCCTCAGCCACGGGGGGGCGGTTGTTCTCTGCATGGCATAGCAAACAAAAAGCAAGCCAGGAATCCAGTCCATTAACCGAGCCTCATTCTTGTTTCGGGGCTTCGGCTTGAAGGGAATGTGCCATCGGGTACGCGCCGATGTGGACACAGACGCGCATTTCCCGCATATTTTTTTCATTAAAATACATTAGAAATTATTTATTTGCCAATGTTTAAAAAAAAAAGACCTGGGCATTGGTGTTTGGACAAGCTGTACATTATGCTTGATAGAGAATGTTTCTGTAACACGTTACGGATTGACAGACACAATAGTTCCCAGGCATCCCAGTATCAGCTCTCTTAAAACCAAGCCATTCCCAAACACTCGTTGTGAGGTAGCTATGCAACAACAATTAGCCCCCAGCTTCCCACTGCATGGCACAGACATGCACAAACACACATGCCACCAAAAGACAAAGATCTCCTGTATAGCCTGTAACACACTGTTAGGGCAAGTGCTGTTAGCGAGCACCTATGAAGGCCAGAACAGCACACGAGACGGTGTGTGGCCATCACCATGCCGGGCCGCCTTTGTCTCCCCAGTGGCGATGTTTACACACCGTACCAGGTACTCATTTGAGGCTGAGTCGACCTAGGGGAGGCCCAGGACTGGTTCAGATAATCGTCACTGATTCTGGCCGTGAGCAGAAATCGAACTCTGGTTGCCAGGTTTGTAGCGCAGCGTAGCGCTAACCGCTACACTACTGCACAAAAAAATAACTACATTAAATCACGACGTTTCGGAAGGAACACAAGCCTTCGTCATCAGGTAGGACAGCCACAGCAAGAAATAATTTGCTGGAGTGGACAAGAGCTGCTTGTAACAAGATATTATATAAGGCAAATTATTTCTTGCTATGGCTGTCCTACCTGATGACGGAGGCTCGTGTTGCTTCCAAAACGTCGTGATTTAAATTAGTTATTTTCATTTTTATTTTATTTTTATTCTTTTTTATTTTTTATTTTCACCTACGTGACTTTACTGAAATAACCAAAGAGTATGGATCCTTGCAGTCACGAAAACTTCTAATCTAGGATGCACATGCCACCTCACACACAAGCAACCACACACTAAAAGCTTCACACAATGATCCCCCGTGTAGCCTTCAACAGACTGCTGGGGCAAGACCGCGCAACTCACCAGGCTGAATGACTACGGTGACCTCTGCGGTGCTTTGCTGTTCAGCCGCGTCGGTGACCGTGAGCTGGAAGGTATAGTCGCCCTCCTGCATCGACGACAGCTGTAGGTAGGGTGTCCGCACACCCTGCACACACACACACAAAGACACCACCGGATAACCTTAACAGACTGTTGGGGCGGGTGTGTTTAGCGAGCACCTATGAAGACCGACACGGCAGAAGAAGGGGTGGTCTCACTAAAAGTCCACTCAGTCGCCTTTGTCTCCCCAGTACCTGATGTGATTATGAGCCCCCTGGGCAAACCAGCAGAAGCCCGAGCAATCGGGGACTAGAGAGCGGTTAACTCCTTCAACCTGGGTTACGACCTCTCTCACCTGCATCTCCAGGACCTTGCCCTTGGTGTTGGAGCCGAGCGTCCACTCGTAGCTCACGATGCCGTGGTCGTCGGAGCTCTGGTTGCCGTTGAGCGTGACGAAGTTGCGCGGGAGCGTGATCGCCTGGTTGGGCCCCGCGTTGGCCACGGGGGGGTAGTCCACCGCCTTGTTCACCGTCACGTTGGCCGTCGTCCAGTTGCTCACTCCGTCCGTGTCCACCACGGTGAGCCTAGACGAGAGGGCCACAGACCCCCAAACCATCGGCACCTAGTTGGCCGTGGTCGCACGCGCCCAAGTTGGTGGGTTTTCGCGGACGATGTTAAGTTGGTGGTTTCCGTTCTGTTCGCATGGCCTCCGTACGTAAGAGGTCCACGGGTGTTGCCGTCTTCAAAAGGAGTTGTAACACAGAAGACCTCTGTAGCTCTGAGAATATTTTGTGGATACGATCTCAGCTCTGCAAGCTGGACTGTTCCGCATGAGTCTGAGGATTTCTTTACTGAGAAAAAAATAATTGATGATGGCCGTTGTTTGTGTTGCTCTGATCATCAAGTCTGCTACTGCTGATGAAGATGGCAGCTGCTGCCAATGCCACTCTTGTTGTTTCGACTGATTATGCAACTGCTGCTGCTGATAAAGACGATGATCATGCAGCTGATGGTGATGGCCTCTGCAGATGACGTTGCTACTGCTGCTGTTAATAATGCTACAGCTGATAATGATACTGCTACTGATGCTGCTGACGATGATGGGGCTGCTAATATTTTTCTGCTGCTGTTGATGATGTTGTTGTTGCTGCTCACTCTGATAAGGACTCTGCTACTGGTGGCTATGTACCCGCCGCCATTAATGATCGTACATGCCCGTATGGAATCGGACAGCCTGCGTGACTCCCTGACCCAGAGCAAGAAACTAATGCTTTGCGTGACCTTCCCGTACCCTGGGTCACTCTCGTTAACGCGACTGCGACTGCCTCTTTCGAGCTCTCGCCTCGCTGAGCCAAGCAAACCGGACATAACTCGGTTCACCTGAAGGTGTAGTTGCCGGCCACCAGGCTGGACAGGTGCAGGATGGGCAGGTTCGTGACCCTCTCCTCGTGGAGGGGCCCACGGATCTGCTCCCAGCGGTAGCTCGCGATGCCGTCGTCATCCTGGCTCACTGCACGATCGGCACGAGACAAGCGCCGGCGTCAAGCGCCGGCGACAAGCGCCGGTGACAAGCGCCGGCGGCACGCATAGACGCACGACGAGGGTGGGGCGCAGAATCCTCGTATCGTTATCCATTGATTGTCGGCAACAGCAGCCGCCAAGACTTCTCGCTAATCCATCCAGAACCTGTGCATGATTTTATCTCATCGCTCCATCTCCTCGGTGGATGGCCTCTCGGATGCATTCCAAATTCTTGGCCTGCACTCCGTGATTACTCGTGAACATCTACAAGACGATTTGGATGCCTTTGACCAAATTAGAACTTTATCGGCGGTCACTAATATTATTTGTGAAGGCTAAGTGCTTTGGACACATGTTTATATAGACAAAGAACGATGCAATTAGATGGACTATGGAGAACAAATACTAATTAAATGTGTACAGGCGACTTATAGACTCACAATAATCACATAGTCTCACGCAAAACCGCAAAGAGCCTCATAGACTCACTAAGAGATCCACAGAGGGGCAATGGAGATGTGAAGGTTACAGGGCAGAGGGAGTAGAGGGAGACCGAGCGAGAGATGGGAGAATGCGGTGGAGCGAGATTCGACCTGGATGAATTGTGCCTTATGTCAATTATTATTAGAAGATGAACAGAACAGGACATGGAGAAAGAAAACCAGAGCAGCAAGCAAGAGTTGACAGTTCTTGAACATGAACTGGGGTAGCCAGCACAACAACAATTAAATCCATCTGTGTGGAGCTTTGAGTGTTATCCCCTGAGAGTTACATGTGTTTTTCTTCTTCTCTCCATGAACTCCAGCGTCCTGCCATAAGCCAAATCCTCTTCAAAGTCACTCGTCACCCAAACGCAGGACCCCCCCCCCCCCCAGGAAAAGGAGTGTGTTGGCCGAGTGAGCTCACGTTTGCCGTCGACGAAGGTGGAGGAGGTGGGCAGAGAGATCTCCTGGCTCTTCGGAGACACGATGGCCACAGGGGGCTGGTTAACCCGTGGGGCTGTGAACATCACAAGACAAAGACAAAGATCCCCAATATAGCCTTAAGAGACTGTTTGGGCAAGTGCTGTTCGCGAGCGCTTATGAAGGGCGGCACGGCACGCCAAAGGGTGGGTGGCGAGCACCACGCCAGGCCGCACTTGTCTCCTTAGTGACAAATTTTACAAATCACAGCAGGTACTTATTTGAGGCCGAGGAGACGCATGGGAGGCCCAGGACCGGTTCAGATAATCGTCGCTGGTGTTGGTCGTGAGCGGAATTCGAACTCGGGTCGCCGATTCATAACCCAATGCATTAACCACTACACTACCGCTTCTCACTGTGAGTATCCAGGCACATACACACGTGCGCAGAGACACAAAACGACAAAGATCCCCGACTGTTGGGGCAAGTGCTGCTAGGGAGCACCTATGATAGCCGGCATGGCACACGAGGGAGTGGGTGACAAACACCACACACACATACATTCACTCACTCACACATCACAAACACATAACGAGACGTATACAAACATGTTAAATCTATAACTTATACAGTACGCATTTATGCATATGAATATCACACTAGGGCAAACAGAGAAATGCATATCAAATACAGGTTGTGTCTTTTACAAGTGTACACAACTATTTTGAAAAAACGTTACTTGGGTACACTGTTAAATGACACACCCTGAATATAAACAGTGCACACCATCAGTCCATAGAGATCGTGCTGTAACAGTTGAAGATGTTGTGCAAGTGCGTTTGAGAGATTTACCTAAGCTGAGTTTGGCGGCATATATTAGTGTATACGGGAGATGATTCCATGCTGAAGCAGCGATGCGTCTGAGCGAGTGTGCTCATTGTGGATTTCACACTCGGAAAAGTTACATTGTTACGAATTTGGGATTGAGGAGCAGAGTTATAGTTGGAGTAAAGCGATGGTTGTTAAGTGGGAGGGGGATGGCATATAATTGTTTCCACGCGGATGCCCAATGAGCAAGTCTTCTATTGTGGGAGGGGAATGCCGCCACCACCAATCAGTGGTTTAATCACAGGCAGCTTGCTGGATTCAAATCCAGGATCTTGGCGGCGTTGCCTGTGCAGCGTCAACGGTGCTATGTCAGCGCCGGCTCGTGGTGTGAATGTAATCGGCAGCACCACAACGCATTCGGTGCAATCGTGCCACGCGACGGCGGGGCTGCGTGCGCTTACCCGGCTTCACCGTCACGTTTATGAAGCCCTCTCCGTAGGCCTTCTTCCCTATCACCGCCACCTTGTACATGTAGAGCCCTGCAGACAGCTGGGCACACAAGGATCAAAAGTACCCCCCGTGTAGTCCTTAACGCACTGTTGAGGGCAAGCGTTGCTAAGCGAGTGCCTCATAAGAACTGGCAAGGCACATCAAGGGGTGGTGTGGCCACATCACGTCCGTCCGCCTTTGTCTCCCGAATGCTGATGTTTAAACGCTGCACAAGTTATTCAGTTAAGGCTGAGTGGGCTTAGGGGAGGCTCAGCGCTGGTAATCACTTGTCTCTGACGTTGGTCATGGCTGAAAATTAAACCGAGGTCACAGGTTCATAGCACAGTGTGCCAAGCACCGTGTCACCGCCCCTCCTGAGTACAAACTCTTCTCTGAGTAATGGGAAAAACTAACATCACAATCAAAGCGTCTCCGGCTCGCATGAGCCAGAGGTGACGCTGTTCTCCACAGGGCAAGGCAACCTCTGAGCGTGCGGTGCAAAGTCCACATTCACAAGGCAGGCCCTGTCTGACTATTGGAGCAGAAAACAAGCTGCCGGGTAAGTCCATTAAGGGTGCTTTCATTCATCAGAAGTGAAAACTCACACTCAGAGGCACACATTGTAGCGTGCGTTGATCGCTCGGGAACACAGGCAGCCGGTTCGCAGTTCCCTTCAAAAGCTCCTTAAATGAATGCATTCACATTCACAACACATTTTTGGCATAGGCCACCTAACCAGCTGTCCGAGTGTATGCCGTAAGACCCTCCACCACCCTACACAGCAACGTGTACGAGCGTTTAGCAACACGGCAATAATTATTTCAGCTCACCAGTAAGTTGTCCAACAATATTCACATGTAAACCTGTGAATTATATTGTGCCGAAATGCAGTTCCATTTCCATCTCATTTTGTGAGGGCATATTGCTATGCTCATTTTCATCATCAAATACACATTTCCAAAAGCACTCCGCCATGCTGTTGGTCGTTTTCCTGCACCTCCAACGAGCACGGTTGGCTATGTATGCTGCAGAAGAAGTTCAATATACAGTACATAAGTTACCTTAGGACAGCTTGAGGGTTTGCGGGTGCTTATCCTCGATGGCGCCCTGGTAGTCCTCTGGGTGGCTGATGAGCATCCACTCGTACTGGTAGGTCTCGCCTGCACCACGTCGCATTGTCGCAGGCACAGCAGTGTCGTCAGTGTTGACGAGGGATCGCTCGTCACAGCAACACAGCCACTCGCCACACTGCAGACCACTGCAACACACCCACTCACCACACTGCAGGTCACAACAACACACCCACTCACCACAATGCAGGTCACAGCAACACACCCACTCACCACACTGCAGGTCACAACAACACACCCACTCACCACACTGCAGATCACAGCAACACACTCACCAACTCACCACACTGCAGGTCACAACAACACACTCACCCACTCACCACACTGCAGGTCACAACAACACACTCACCCACTCACCACACTGCAGGTCACAACAACACACCCACTCACCACAATGCAGGTCACAGCAACACACCCACTCACCACACTGCAGGTCACAACAACACACCCACTCACCACCCTGCAGATCACAGCAACACACCCACTCACCACACTGCAGGTCACAACAACACACTCACCCACTCACCACACTGCAGGTCACAACAACACACCCACTCACCACAATGCAGGTCACAGCAACACACCCACTCACCACACTGCAGGTCACAACAACACACCCACTCACCACCCTGCAGATCACAGCAACACACCCACTCACCACACTGCAGGTCACAACAACACACTCACCCACTCACCACACTGCAGGTCACAACAACACACCCACTCACCACACTGCAGGTCACAACAACACACTCACCCACTCACCACACTGCAGGTCACAACAACACACCCACTCACCACAATGCAGGTCACAGCAACACACCCACTCACCACACTGCAGGTCACAACAACACACCCACTCACCACACTGCAGGTCACAACAACACACCCACTCACCACACTGCAGGTTACAACAACACACTCACCCACTCACCCTATTGCAGACCACAGCAACACACTCACCACACTGCAGGTCACAGCAACACACCCACTCACCACACTGCAGGTCACAACAACACACTCACCCACTCACCACACTGCAGGTCACAGCAACACACCCACTCACCACACTGCAGGTCACAACAACACACTCACCCACTCACCCTATTGCAGACCACAGCAACACACCCACACACTCACCACACTGCAGGTCACAGCAACACACCCACTCACCACACTGCAGGTCACAGCACTTGATTTTCTGCTTTTTACCTCCCACTGCTCCATTTTGGATTCCCTCCCATCATCGTCGTCATTATCGTCTCTTTGCCCCAAGCTCTTACAACAAATAACCTTGCTCAATTCAAGGAAAGTGTTAGCTCGCATCAAATGAACAACTTCGATTGTGTCGTTTGTTTCTGGCCACTTGATGTTTTTGGCCTGTGCTCGGCAACTGTGTTATGAATATGAATGCGTGTGTGTGCGTGCGTGTATGTATGTGCGTGCGTGCGTATCTGCGTGCGTGTGTATCTGCGTGCGTGTGTGTGTATGTGTATGTGCGTGCGTATCTGCGTGCGTGTGCATGGCGTCGCTCGCGAGTCCCACCTGCCGGTGGCTCCGGGCTCGCCACCGCGTTGAGCACCACCTCGTCCTTGGGCAGCGTCACTTCCACGCTGTCGCCAGTCGACACGACCAGCGCCTTCACTGTGGGCACACGTGCACCGGCGAGGGACACTCGCTCGCTCACTCACTCACCCACACACACATACATACCTACCCTTACACACACTCGCTCAACCCGTTCAACTCACTTGTTCACTAAACTACTTATTCAATTACTCATTCTCCTACATACCCACCCTACTCACTCAACTAACCACCTACCCACCCACTCAGTAACTTCCCCACACACATACTTACCCATCCACCCACTCACTTAATTATTCAATTACTCACTCATTCACCTACTTACCTACACACCCACTCACTCACTCACCCATCCACCTACCCACTCACTCAACTCACGAGCTCGGTCATCTACTTACTCACTCAATCACTTGCCGATTCCCTTCCTCGTTCACGGTTTCCTCTCATCCACACTGTGTTCAACCACCATACTGAACATCACCACACTTCTCTTTCTGCATCATTCCTTGCACTGCTCCACTTTGGAATTCTCTCCCATCATCACCGTGTCTTTTCCCAAGTTCTGATAACAACCTTGCTCAAGTCAAGGAACGATTTGCACTATAATCTATTAAGAAATTGATAGTGCCATTTTTTGATAACCTCTTGACGTTTTAGCCATCTGGACCTGCGCTCAGTTAACTGTGTAAAAACAACAACAAAAAATACCCGGCTTAGCCGTCGATGAAGTGCTCATTGGCATTGGCGTGGTGGCGGCGGCGGTGCTGGGAGGCCAGCTGGCATTGGACGGTGGACTGGCGCTGCTCCACGTTTCCGAGGTGTTCGCCGAGGAGAGCGGCAGGGCTGGAAGCTGCCCGGTCGCACCGTCCAATCTGTCTCCCTTCTGTGCAGTGCTGGCACCGTGCGTCGAGGAATCCCCTGCCGGCTTCTGTTTCTCTGTGGGCTTCTGAGGGGGCGGCTGGCAAGTGGCAGCATTCGTATGAGAGACGGAACAATTCGTCGAATAAGTCGATTAATGATTCAATTAAAATTTCCCATCGACCGCTTTGCGTGTGGTCGGTAATACGGGCCCCCTTTAAACATGGCGGCCGGCCCCCGACATTCTGTAATATAGCAGCACCCTCCCAAAAGCATTCTCGTGGCTTTCCTGGGTAAATAATTGCCATTGCAAACAGAGTAGCCTCCAACATGCACAACTGTTGCAAAGCGAGGGTTGGCGACGGTTTGGAGAGGGCCTTCATCAAGCAGTGGATTGATCATGGATCATGATGATGATGTCGACATACACGATTTTACGCATATAACGTGAAAGCGAGAAACAATTTTAAGTCGGTGAATCCATTTAACGTTACAAGATGAGAGATCGGTGCAGTTAAGTTTGGCTTATGTCACACACCGGGCTCGTGGAGGAGGCCAGGAGGGCTTTGCCGGTGGTAAGACTGTTGCCATTCAGTTGGTCTTGGCTGAGGAGCGTCCTGACGTAGCCCTCCAGCTCCTCGTCAAGAGGCTGTGGGATGGGAGACGTCTCCATTGAGTTGTCAAACATTAATGAGAAAAATCGTGCACACGCATGGAGCGTGTAAAAACCTCCCAACGTGCGTTTGTCCTCGCCAGCATGTAACTAGCAGTGCGGAAGCCGACGGCTAGACGCAGGGCAAATCCAGTTCCTTTTGCTTTGGTTAGTGTCTCAAAGCTTTGGGAATCCCAGCACGACGAGGAATCCACATGCGCTGCAACCCGGGAACACGGTGGAGAGCTACCCATCATAATTATTTCTCAAGAAGCTAATTGTCGGGCCACGCCTGTACCATTAGGGGCAACACGAAGGCGAGATGTTAATTGCCTCGCCTGGTATACAGGAGGTCGTGGGTTCGATGCCAACCCTGACTCCCGCATATTTGGAGTTTGCATGTTCTCCCCGTGGTCGTGTGTATTTTTCTCTGGGTCCTCCAGTTTTTCCCTTCACATTTAGAATCAACACGCGTTTAGATAATTTGGCTGCTATAAATTTCCACAAGAGAAGCCACTTTGCTGAGCTATCATTTGTGGCCATGTCACTTCTAAAAAATAGCTCATAGCTCAAGTGGGCCTTACCTGATAAAATAAAAAAATAGTTTTAGTCTATAGTATCATTATCGTCATCATCATCGCAGTACCTGGGCCGTATTCATAGCTCCAAGCGGCGCTGGCGTCGTCTGCCGCTGCTCCGGGCTACTCAGCGGTTCCGTGACCACACTCTGCGCTGCTCCGGTCGTGGACGCCACAGGCCCCATCAACTGCTGGATGTACTCCAGCTCCGAGGCGGCGACCAACTCCGGCAGGGAGCTGGTGACATTCACTGCCGGCTCCGCTTCGGGCACGCCCTTCCGGCCCATCACCTTTCCCGTGTGGGCACGAGTGGACGCAGACAATCGAGCCGCCGTCACCGGCGCCGCCGGGTCGGCTCGATCCGTCGCGTTAACCGGTCCCGCCAATCGCTCGACGACGGCCATGGAGGTCTGCACCAATTTCTCCCCCTGGAAGGTGCAGTCCCCGTGCACCCGGCAGCTCACGGCGTAGCAGCGCTTCCCGTAAAGCCATGCCAGGTTGCAGGTGGGCCGCAGGCAGCAGGCGTGCAGGCAGGCGTCCCACAGCGAGCCGTTCGTGACGGGCGGCAGGTCGTTGACGGGGGTCACGTTGTCGGAGACGTTGGCCAGGACCACGTGCGACGCCGTGCTGTGGTAGTTGCACTCTTCCTCGCAAATTCCTTGCAGCAGCAGGCAGGGAAACGTGGGAAGGCACACGACACAGAGTTTTTTTTCAGCCCTTCGGTCATGGGGTTTGTTTGATCAGACTACACCACACAGGTCAATGTGGGTCAGGGAAAAGAGAACCCAGGACCGGCTCAAATATCTTTCGATGTTAGCCACAGTCGGGTATTGAACTCTGGGCACCGGATTCGTAGTGCGGTGCGCTAACCACCACTCTGCCACTGCTCCCCCCCCTCAATCCCCCCCACCGCCAACCCCTAATACATTTCATAATTTCTAGTTGTGGTACTCTTGCAGTGAGCAGTGGACCACCTCATGTAAGGAAATGGTCCTGGAAGGTCACATCACATCCATGCTAGGTGACCCGCCGATTATATGCCCTGCAAGGAGTGTTAATTGTGTATAAATCAAACCCAAACTCCTGATTCACGGAGCTGGAGTCAGCTAAATTAAGTGAGATGCCAAATGTAATGTGATTTATTCATGCGGTATTTAATAACCAGTAAGCACGTAACACTGCACTGATTAATCAATTAACGTCGATTCTTACGCTTGTAATAAATGCATCGAATCACGCATATTAGGGTCCATTCCTTGAGATTCATAAATGTGGCCATTGGCTCTCGTGACCTCTGTAGCCAATAGAGGTGCGGCATTCCCCACAATGCCAAACAAAGAGGCGATTCTTGAATTTAATCACCACCCCGGGGGGTGGGGAGCAGTGCCATGACAGCTGTGAGTGCTGCCCTGGCTCTCCCTAGAGCTTGTTAAGTGCGTCGGCTGCCCTGATGATGGCCTAATGCTCGTTAGTGCTGCCCTAGCTGCCCCTGGGACTCGTCGTTGTTGTTGTTTCTGGACCTTGGTCGCTTCATTCTGGGCTGTGCTGCGATGTTGTTCTCTCTCTCCACCCCTCCTCCACAACCACAACCCCGGATGCCCCCTCACCCCCATTTTTGTAAAACGTCTCAGGATGCAATTGCATTAGGACGCTTTATAAAATTAAAATATTGTTCTAATATAAGAGACATCTAGAAGAGCCGCGTGGTTATGTTTTTGTTGCGTCTCCTGTTATATACAGACTGGTGCGTTCCAAATTGTCGGTGCGGTGCAGGAAAATGTTCCATCCACCCAAACGCAACATCATCTGTGGGGGGCACCTGAATCAGAATATTTATTTATTCCTGGAGGAATCCAATGAGCTATAAAGCTCTTTTTCACAGATGTGCAGTAAGGGTGGGTAAGAACGTTACAACAACAAACAATACAAAACAAGATAGCAGTGCAAAGTACAGGAAAGGAAAAAAAATCACCCAAAAACATACAATTGAAACTAAACCATCCCCATCTTACCATGCAAAGCCCACTGAGGTGTTAACTTACTTTTCATAAGCGACCTGGCCACAAATGATAGCTTGACAGAGTGGCTTATCACGTGGAAATTTATAGCAGCAAAATAATCTACATAATGTCAACTTGGGACATCATCAGGCGCGCCCCAAGAGAACCAGGCTGACTCCATCAACGCCGCCGCTGCACTGGAGAAGCCGGTTTACACTGCGCCGAAAAAGTCGTGCTCTCACAGTCGCCTGGCGTTGTCGCACGATCCTTCTCTCGGCCTAGCCCGGGCTGGGGCGTCACCTGCCACGTCGTGTCACCCCAGTCGGCCGTGACGCAGACATGGCCAATGACATTTGGCAGAAGCCGAGCGGTGAACTTTAAGCATGTAGCCAAACTCGACGATGGTCAATGAAACAAAACAAACGCAACGGCAGCCACAATAGCACGTGGGTCACCCCGGCCCAAAGCAGGCTGCGGCTAACACGGCAACGCGAGGGCAGTCGCTGAGTTCCATCAGCACTGAGATTCTCCGTTCACCGCCAACCTAAACACTTCACGGCTCAACAAGGCCAAGCTGTCTTCGTACATTCGTACTGCCAGACATCTACGGCACGTGGAAATACAAAATTGTAACAGCTCGCACGATGCTGCAACGTCAGGACGATATTACCGTTACGACTTTTATTTCAAGCTATTCCGTCACATTTTTTAGTCTTACTTAAAGGAGTATGCGGACATGAACAATCGTCCTAGGAAGGGGGCTCTCTTGGGCACTTTGCCAGCAGGGACCCTAAGGAAAGGGGCTCGGTTGGCGGCTTTGCCAGGAGTTGGCACCGGAGGGTAGATGCTGCTACAATGGTGTCTCAGCGTATGTATCCCACAAGTAACTTTAATACAAATGTTTGTGAACCCCCGGGGGATATGAGAGTTTGTATGTGAACGTTTTGAAGGGTGCCGAATCCAAATATGACATCAGACATACATGTCCCATAGAGCATTATTAATTAATGGCGGCCCAACCGCGAGCCTCCCCTCTTGCACGAGCAATGTTGCTGGCCTAGGATGCCTGTCAGGAGACCTACGAAAGCAACGCCACCCACGCAGCCTACGATTACAAAACAGGTCGGGAAACCTCATGCATATGCATAGACGTAACACTTGCCTCAAACGCATTTGATGAGCAGAATGGAAGCCGATAGGTTGCTGTTGGCTGTGGCAAAAATACATTTGCATATTTGTGAAGTCTTTATGATTTTTCTTTGCACCCCCACATTTGTGAGCAGCAGTTTGATTAATTTCGCCGGATCTTCAATGGGGGTAGGTCCCTAACAGCCAAACAACTTTGAATTAAAGTTGTGTTCCTGTTGGATCATCTTAATGAGAGTGACACCCCCCCCTCCACCCCCGCTATGCACAGATGAACAGACGGGCGGGCAGGCAGAGCTAATGCGTCAACTCTTTCAACTTTGGTTGTTGAAAGCGTTAATAAAAACCTAGTTATATTAGATGAGTAAACAACGCGGAAAAGTCGCCTCACAACAGCCTGTTACCGCCTTGTTTATTGCACGGTGGTCGCCTATCCAAACATATTTCTGGACTCAACCCCGAGATCTGATTTGGTCATAAGCAACCTTTAGGACAAACCAGAACAATTGAGAAAAAAATGACGTACACACTGGGAAACTTATTTGCCTCAACACCTTTTCAATATGTATTTCATATAAACTACACGGAGAGTTGAAACGGTAACTCCGAGTGACAAAGTCACGAAAAAACATCCGTCCAATTTATTTTTATTTTACCAGGTAAGGCCCACTGAGCTGGACAGCTCTTTTTTCAAAAGCGACTTGACCATAAATGATAGCTCAACGAAGTAGCTTATCACGTGGAGATTTATAGCAGCCAAAAACTCTAAACGCATGTTTCTAAATGTGGAATAAAAAACCGGAGGACCCGTAGAAAAATCCACGTGACCACGGGCAGAAAGACATGCAAAAATTCCAAATAAAGAGGCATCAGGGTCGGGATCAAAACCACAACCTCCTGTATACCAGGCGAGGTAGTTAATACCTCGCCACCGTGGGTATAAAAAAACGCTGACGATTTGCTCTGGGGCAATAAGTTTTCACGTGGCAATACTGTACACGACGCCAAAATGCGGCTGGAGAGTAGCGGCGTTATACTCCGTACAGACATGGGCATGATCTTAGCACGGCCTTGGCACAACAGGCACTTAATCACGGACTAGACGTGCTTAAAACAATTATTATTTTATTGTAAAGAGGCTCTTGTTATCATGAGGCAAATAGTGCTTTGATACCCATCCAGACAACACACACACTCCGAAAGTGTTCAGCCTCAAGTTGTTCTAATCTCTGTTTGCCAGACAGGGTGATGTATTGACCACAATATTATTTTTCTTACCAAAAAGCTAATTGGTGACATTGCTCGCAGAATAGTTTAAAAAATACTAATTAAGCAAATCAGCCAAATAATCCAATGCAGTATATTGAGACTCCTTGTGACCTTGCTGGGTAATTAAAACATTTTTAAATATAACTTTGTGGTGATAACAGTGCATTGTCGTACTGCTCTTTCTATGCTCCCCGACGTCACCAACCCCACACTTCTCCAGCATGAAGTGTGGTTAAACAACCCACACGGCTTGAGGAGGCCCAACATCCAACAGTGGATTGACAAAATAACATTTTACGAACAATCTGGTGGTCACACATTCAAAGAAGGATAAGGCCCTAGCTTAATGGCAACCATTATTCTGCATGCTTAAACCAGGAGGGCCTTGCCGAGTCTCGTTAACATTTTTCAGGAGGGTCCTGCCAAATTGCCGCAGAAGGGGGAACATTGCCGCTACGTGGTCTCCAATTGACCAATACGCAGTGTAATTTTTCATATTTGGGGAAAAAAATTGGACGGTGGCGCTGGCAAACAAAAGTCTCCGAATGAAGTCACGGGACCTATAACCTCCGCTGCGAAGCGGACGGTACGTATCTTTATAGTTACTAACACAACCGCAGTAATAACCAGGCCGGCTGCGAAATTCGAACCGTGAACCTGTGCAATAAGCGGCGGACGCGCTCTCGCTGGGCCCTGTCACCGCCCTCACTCAAACCCCCCGGGAGTGGCTGTGAAGGGAATCTCAGAAGGGCCACGCTCTCGTTTCACCCTTGAGGGCCACTTCTGTCCTGTGGCGAACACGTTTACACAGAGTGTGGAAACAACGCTGTCATCTGGAGAGCACCCTCGGAGCTAATGGAGTATGTTTGTCTTGATCTACTGCGAAAATACTAAACTGGTTTTTTTAGCTGCCGGTCAGACCGGCAAGACTGGATTTGGCGGCATACCACAGCCACCTTTCTGCCAATACAACCAAATGCGCAGTCAACAGATTTCAAGGCATCCTGTTTATCACGTGTGCGTGCATTAATCAAGTGCACAAATTAATTATTTCAATCACACAGATCAAACATTAAAATAAATTAACAAAATTCAACAATTAGGTGACTCATTTAAAAAGGTTACTTCTATGCATGAAATGATTCACAACCCACACCCAGCAAAGTGATGATTTGTCACAATTCAGAGGGGTCATTCGTTTAAAGATGTAATTATTCTCATCTCGTTTTCACCATCTCCTTTGTATTGCTTGGAGTTTTCGTCTCATTTGTATGACTGTCCACACCATTAGCCTGAATTTCAACATTCGTACTCAATTTGCAGGTAATTTGTATACATTGCATACGGCTGATGTTTTTTCCCTTCGTAAGAAGGCACTTTGCGAAAAAAGCTTTCGCAGGGTGTGTGTCTATCCGGTATGACCCTTCCAAAGCGTGGTGGTTATAAAACATTTTTGTATAAACGCAATTGCTAAGCACAGTAGGCCCAAAGGCCCAATATGCCAGGCGGCCAGCAACAATCGAGCACCACTTAAGGTGTAATCGATAAAGAGTTCGTGTTTCTTTAATTGAGAACACCGGATGATTGGGTGCTTGTATTGTAATTGACCCATTATTCCATGTCTGTCGGTCACGAACATAAACTGGCAGTGCTAAAGATTTACCGCCTCATAAGGAGTGGACCAGTGTCACCTCTGGCCTTTGGGCAATGTGGTACTACTAAACTCCAGGCCATGAGCCACCGTGAGGGTGATGGGCTTCACCATCGCTCACTCACTCCACGCTTCGTTCTCCATACGACGAGCATTAGCACACCCAGTTCAAATCGTCTGTGTGAGAATCATTTATCTGCAATATATGCAAATGATATGCCAATTATAGACACATTTGATGTTTAGGGGTTATGGGGCAAACAGTACCGTACAAAAGAGACGGGGGAAATAGGAGCCCAAAAAGCACGGATTATTGGATTAAATATTTTGACCAGCCATCGCATGGCGAAGGAGAGTCGTTATTACAAGCTATAGGCAGTGGTTCCTCAAGCAGAATTAACACAAAAAAAGATCGACACATTCGTCAAAAACAGTGGCCTTAAAATAAAAAATATATAATAGGTAACATTCTGGGCAATGGCCTTTCTTTATCGCACGTATAATAAGATAAGGGAGAGGCGACACGGCGTTTTTAAGTGGATAAGAGTTGGAGACTACAGCCTATGGTATAAAGTGCAGTCTCCATCTCCTATCCACTGTCTCTCTGTCCTCGATATGTATGAAATGTCAGCTGTTTTTATTCTCAATTTTAACGCCACGGCGTTATTGACCGATGTATTGAGAGTTTTGTGTTTCTGGAAACACTGTAAAGGCGCAAAACGTTCAGACTGCAACAAAACCCCACCTCCCAACAGCGCGTTCTCACGAAAAGTAGTTTTTTTCTCGAAGTTCTGCGAAAACCGAGCCAAATGCCATCGCAATTGTTGATTAATTCGTTATCAGCTTGGTACTTCCCTCCAAATCCCAGAGTAGCCAGATGACCCACAGCCAAATGTTTCGACGCCTGCTTATCGTGAGTTTACCCTTCAGCGCCATGACCGCGGGTGCAAAAAAAATAAAACCCAAAACAATGGGAAATGCCACGCCCATTGCGCCTCCGGGGTAAGTGGGTGTCTGGAGCTGCTGTGATGAGGCAGCAGCGATGTTCGATGATGAGCACGGTTGGCTAAGTACGGTGCAAAATAAGTTCAACATACGTACATACATGATAATAGGATTCATTGTTATAATGAAAACATCCATGACTAAAGCACGAATTTTCCACCGCTTTCACGTGCTGGAAAATCCTTCAGTTCCTGAAGAAGCTCCCTGCACGAGGAGTGAAACCTCGGACATCGTGCCGAACAAGACGCGGAACAACCCGAAAACACATCAGAGCGCTACGGAACACAACCAAGAAATTATACGTGGTAGGAATAGGACAGTTGAGAAAAGTTTAATTGTAATAAAAATTATATTTCCATTTTTACGGGAAAGTCTCACGGAGCCTCGGGGGTCATATTTCTGAGGGTTCTGCATTGGGATTTTTGCGCAAGTTCCATTTTAATATGTATTGTGCGTATGGGGAGGAATCCAGCGGCCGGCAAAAACCCACCAAACACGAGTGAATAACACTCCAAGCCATGCATACATAAATTCAATGATTAATGGATCGACTGCTATCTCTTGGCCACCTTCCAACATAAGAGGGTTGTGGGAGTTTCAGAAATTTGTCCATAATCCACAAACACTTGCCTCCAAAGCACCGGATCACCAGGCTTGGATGACTGAAAATGCCACCCCTACTTTCAACGAGCAAAATCAATCAGGCGGAATCAGGGCAGGCCACATCGTGAGAGCAAATTATGAGAGACGAGAGGCTATTTGACCACCGAGTGGAAATCGAAGGCAAAAAAAAAAGCGGTGGAAAACAGCGGAAGAGACGGTAGTAAGCAATATAAATCACAGAGTTTGGAGGCCACTGCTGGATTGGAGCAAATGGAGAAATTAAAGAATAGCAGAAAAATAATAGAATAATACTTCCTACCGCCGGGCAAAGGCTGACCACAACAACCACAACCGCGACAACTCCGATGGCATGCGAGTGCGCATTACCTGGCAGGATCAGGAGGCTGAGGGAGCACAGCAGCAGAGCAGCCCAGTGCAATCCTGTCCACGCTGAGCGGCGGAAGGGCGGCGGCACGCTCTGGTGGACTTTATCCAGGTGACACTCCATGACTAAGGCCTGCGTGTGCCCCAGCTCACATCACCTGCCACTGCAAACCGTCTCCTGTTCACAACGCAACAGACAAAATGTTCCACATGTAGCTCACACAGGCTGTTGGGGCAACTGCAATTAGCGAGCACCGCGCATGTGAGACGGTGGTGTGATGTGGCCAGGGCCATGCCTTTGTCCCCCCCCAATGCTGTGCTTTCCACACGACACTGGGTACTCATTTAAACTGAGTCAAATTAGAAGAGGCCCACATTAGGTTCAGATAAACACCCCTGATGGCAACCATGGCCGGGAATGGAACTCGGGATGCCCGATTTATGGTGCAGTGCCCTAACCACTGCACAACCGCTCCCAACAATTCAACTAAACAAACACACACAGAGCAAACACGTGATGCAACCTCTTCGTAACGAGTATTTAACGTGACTTTTACTGCTCTGGTGAAACGCGATACAAATTTAACAAAAGCGATAGCCAATGTCATGTGTTGGACCAACAAAGACAAAGTTTGGCCACGACTGTAGCATGTGGCATGAGTCATACATAGGCTGGCATTATCATTCCCGAGATGCACATGTGCACACATATGCCGGCACTGTGGACTGTATGCAGGGCTTAATATCAGCCTGGTCTGTCTGGATTGCTGAACAAGAAAATATTTCTACACACTTGCCACACAAACATCCAGCCCACCTCTCGATATGGCTGCGGGGTTACTCCGAGCCACGTGCCACATGCTCCAGTCTACGAGCGTCTCGGAAAATATTCATGAGTAAAATGAAGCCCCGGCTATACGTAAAGGGTATGACCTAGTGTCGTATTTATTGTGCGAGATATACATGTATAATATTATATTCTTGGTTCTTTCGGTAAAGTCACGTAGAAGGGAAACAATAAAATAATAAAAATATAAAACAATAACATGTTCACGACGTTTCGATTGCAACACAAGCAATCATCATCAGGTGTGAAAACCACAGCAAGAAAATTTGAAAAAGTGGCGTTTTTTTCTTGTGTTGCAATCGAATGTCGTGAGAATTTTATTTTTTATTATTTTTATTATTTTATTGTTTCCCTTCTACGTGACTTTACCGAAAGAACCAAGAATATGAATCCCTGCAGTCACGAAAGCTTTAAATCAAAATGTATAATATCATTAATGTACAGCCCTTAGTCAATCCACCGTTGCGATGATGGCCTCCCCAAGGCATGTCAATCGTGAGATTTGTTAGATCACACTTCACCAGCCCTGTCAGGCAAAGGGGAGGAGTGTCCTGTACCAGTTCCAGTGTCTTTATCCGTGGCCAGAAATTGAACTCTGGTAGCAGGATTCACATAGTTCATGCTAACCACTGTGCCACCATTCCCCTCATATACTGTGCATGAATAAACAATTGCACAGCAGATTATTTTCATATCAAAAAGACACACACGGAGAGTCATGTCAATTCTCATGGACGCAATAGAAACATGAAATCTGGGACAAGTATAGCCCAGTCTATGCTTGCAACTCAACAAATCTGGCAACAATGTTGAAAGTATTTGTTTAGAAACTTAGAATAATGAACCTTTGTATCTGGCGGTATTTGAGGGGAGGCTGAATCCACATGACATCAAATGTTAAATTTGAAAATCCCAAAAGAAAATGTCAAGGTAAGATGAACAATCGAATAAAAGTTTTAGTTTTTTACTTAGGCTACAATAATTCAGTTGTGATGGTTTATACGCGTGCAGATACCAAATATTTATTTAACAACTCGTTTTTTCTTGGTATTTTTATAAGACTTTGAAGCTAAAGCCAATAAACCCACTGAAGTATGATTACAGATAATAATATTGGACAAGAGACAATTATGCTGCTGAGTGGCAGCTATGATTAGACAGCTTGACTCAAGATCAGAAGTATGCCGAGTTCAAATCCCGGTCAAAGTTGACTCAACCCATCATCCACTCCGGGATGATAAAATCATCACCACTGTGTGTAAAAGCCAACAGTGATGGTTCTGTTGAAAAGAGTGTGAACCCCTTTGCTGCTGATGATGCTCTTGCGGGTCACAGCCAATGGTAATTCTACTGTGGTTGCTGATGATGCTGCTAATCCTACCAATGCTAATGATGCAGCTGATGATGAAAAAAAACGAGAATGCTACTGTTGCTGCTACTAATGACGACGATGATGCAATGAATTTCCTTCTGCTGCTACAACAGCCGCGAGACTATTTGAGTTGACTTTGAGAACCAAGGTGAGAACACATAACGGTTACAAGACTTTTGGGGCAAGTGCTGTGAGCAAGCACCTATGGATAATCATAATCAAAACATGAATTTATTCTGTACTGGAGGAATCCGATGGGCAATAAAACTATTTTTTCAGCAGGTCAGCACCATGCTCAGCCGTCTTTGTCTCTCCAATGCTGATGTTTACAGGCTGTACCAGGTACTCGTTTAAGGCTGAATGGACCTTGGGAAGGCCTAGCAAGGACCCGTTCAGATATATGGCACCAATATTGTCTGTGACCGGGAATCAACTCGGGTCCCTGCGCTAAACCACTGTGCCACCGCTCCACACAAATGCAGCATAGACAAGGATGTGCTGTACATAACGGCGCTCATACTATTACATACTCTAATTGTGAGCAGACTTGTACACGTGCACAGGAAACAGAGCACACTGCCACGTTAGATACGGGGTGTGTGCATGCGTATGTACCACTGCCATCACATCACATAGGGACGTCACCATGAACAGTCTGATGGAACCGTAATCAACATTGCACAATAAGTACGTGTGATTCAATGACATAACATTTATATTGCACCACTTACAAAACCAGAGGTTTGCATAACACGGGTTTTGTCTACTTGCAATGCTATCTAATTTAGACGACTTATTACCCTAATAGAATAAAAATGCACAATCAGCAATTGTTGAAGCAACTCTACACGACCAACTTCGATTTTCTGGGTCTCATCAGCAGTCAGACTTGCCAAGCATCTGGTAAACAAGCAGCAACACAAGAAAATATTGATTTATATAACAACGAAATGTGACCGCATCTCCAGACACTGTACAGAAACACAGGGCATATTCAGTACATATGTATATTTTTAGAGTGAGTCAGTCATAGGTCTCTCCGTGAGTCTATGGGTCTCTGTGTTTGTTAGAGGGAACGGCGGTCAGTGACAGGTAGAGATGAGGTGTGGTCCTGAGCCTGGACTTAATTAGGGTCACAGGGACGACAGCACGGATTAGAGGGGGGAGTTCAAAACAATGCGAGCAGCAAAATCAACTGAGGGAATTTCCAGCTAAGGCTAACAAAAGCATTCGTTTAACAAAGCTGACTTTGCTGATGAGACCCAGATTTTTTAAAACATTCCAAAAATTTGATTTAAAAATCTGATGGTTCGTAAAAGTCTAAGTCCAATGAGTCAATGTATTCAATATCCTTTGATTTTATGGGAAAAACATAACTGATGTTAATGCATTTAACTTCCTCATTATGCTCCACTGCGGCGGTGCCATGGTTCGTGCACTGCACTTTGAACTTCGTGAACGGAGTTCGATTTAACACCAGCGGGAAAGTGGTGTCTGACCCGATCTTGAGCACCCTCTCGCCCAACCTGCACTGACCAGCTTGATGAAGTATGGTCACACACAACCAATGAACGACACAGCATGGGCAAGCTTTCATGCAACAATGGATTGACAAAAGGATGTAACAATGCAGTACTCCACTCAAGGAACACCAAAGAGTGAAGTTGGTCTCAAGTAAAGCGATACAATTCTCAAAATGTGCCGATTGTTGTGATGGCCAACAGCTATGTGGCTTAAGTCACGGGCCATCACAACACACCCACACACCCACACCTGCCCATCCTAATTTAGCCAAGCCCATAATGCTATTACCGTACTCATTACTACAATTGTTCAAGCAACATTCAGTACAGCTGACTGACGTGCGTTGGTCCCTGACAGCTCCTGTAGATTTGTTAAATGTTTAATATCGTGTCAGTTGTGTTTTTTACAATGCACTGTTGACTTTGGCCACGGTAAACGATATCACCATCACCACCGTCAGCCATGACCAATCCACTGCTAGATGACGGCCTCTCCAATGTGTTGTCATCTCTCACAGTCCGCAGATACTACTGGACAACAATCCATCTTCAGCTCCTGCGCATGAGCCAATTTCATAGCTCCATCTCATAGGCGAACGTCCTGTCGAACGCGTTCCCTTCGCTTGGCTGTCACTCAGCCGTGAGTCCCGTCCATCGGTCATCATTCTAAGGAACCTGCCCTGCCTCAGCTCCATTAGTTTTCTCAACAGTCAATATTCATCGTCTAACTTGTGTATGTTCTCTGATACATGCGTTACTCGATGTGTCTCAGTGCACAGTCGATCACATCGATAACCGTGGCGCCGTGGTGGCTATGAGATGTTAACTACCTCGCCTGGTATGCAGGAGGTCGTGGGTTCGATCCTGACCCTGACGATGCCTGCTGCTGCTGTATATTTGGAGTTTGTGTGCCTCTGAAGCAGTGGTCGCGTGGATTTTTCCCCGGATTTTCCCTCCACATTTATAATCAACATCACGCATTTAGAGTATTTAGCTGCTATACATTTCCACACGATAAGCCACTTCGTTGAGTCATCATTTTTGGTCAGGTCACTTGTGAAAAAAGCTATACTGTAGCTCAGTGGGCCTTACCTGTTAAAATAAAAAAGCTCATATATTTATGTTTTATAGATTAACCATGACGCACATGAATGAATAACCTTTAAATCAAGTTGGCAGACTACGCTTTATTGACCGTAGATATATATTTTTACTAATTGCAATTCAAAGCCTTCAATGCTGTCTGTACTACACCTCTGTATGATCACTAAGGTACAACAACAACGTTATAAAAACTATAATAACCGTTGCCAAGTCTCTATAACTGCCTCACATTCAAAATCAACAATCATAACAATAATGAACACACAGCAAGCAGGCGTTAACACATTTCATATTCAAACGTGTGCCTTACACGCTAAACATAGGCCTGACTAGATATATACACACATACATATATACCGCAAGTATGTCATTAAATAAGAAAATGTGTTATTTTAAAGAGGCCGGTGGAGCGGTGGTGCAGCGGTTAGCGCCACGGCTCTCCATCAGTGTCGGCTCCCATCTGAACCGATCCCAAATGGCCTTCCTCATCTTACAACTCGCCCTGACCAGCGTGGTGAAGTTATTCCCAGGCAGGCAGGCGGGTGGATGTGAGGCAAGGCAGGGCAGGGCAGACGAGGCCAGGCATTCATCCAGCAGTGGAGTGAATAACCTGTCATTTAGTTTTGACCGGGGGGGGGGGGGGGGGGCATTGGTTCTGATTCCAGTAGGTGGCGGTCACTGTGAACGCATCATCCCCATTTGAGTGCTTTCGACCGCTGCGAGAACATTAACATGTCACGGTATAAAGAAAAACGAAGCGACCACAACAATATTAATAATAGACCACCAACAAGAACAACAGCCAATAACGAGGGCTGCTCAACAACAACAGCCATGGCGGTTACCGCGTAACGCAACGTAACGAGAGGTTCGTCATCCGTGGCCCAGGCCTTACCGTCAAATCATGACGGCAAAGACAGCCGCCGATCGGCTCCCTCGTCAACCGCAGGCCACCGTCTCGGGGTGCTGCGAGAGAGGCGGCTCAGCCCCGCGGTGTCGTGCCGCTGCAATTCCCGCCGCGGGCTTCGCCTGCAAGAGCCGCCGTCCGAGTGTGTTGATGGTTGGGCAGGAGGCTGAGGGGGGCAGGAGGCGGTGACGTCACCGTAGGGGTGGGGTGAGAGGGGGGGGGGCGGTGACGTCACCGCAGGGTGAGGTGAGAGGGAGGGGCGCTCGGTCGTGACGTCACGGCGACTGCGCCTCGTCCGTTCCCAAACCTCCATCCTGAGGGTGGGAGGATTTGTCAACATCGTCAGCAGCTTCATCAGCACCATCATCATCAGCACTATGATCATCATCAGCATTATGATCATCATCAGCACCATGATCATTAGCACCATGATCATCATCAGCACTATGATCATCATCAGCGCCATGATCATCATCAGCACCATGATCATTAGCACCATGATCATCATCAGCAGTATGATCATCATCAGCACCATGATCATTAGCACCATGATCATCATCAGCAGTATGATCATCATCAGCACCATGATCATTAGCACCATGATCATCATCAGCACCATGATCATCATCAGCACTATGATCATCATCAGCACCATGATCATCATCAGCACCATGATCATCATCAGCACCATGATCATCATCAGCACCATGATCATCATCAGCACCATGATCATCAGCACTATGATCATCATCAGCACCATGATCATCATCAGCACCATGATCATCATCAGCACTATGATCATCATCAGCACTATGATCATCATCAGCACCATGATCATCATCAGCACCATGATCATCATCAGCACCATGATCATCATCAGCATGATCATCATCAGCACTATGATCATCAGCACTATGATCATCATCAGCACTATGATCATCATCAGCACCATGATCATCATCAGCACTATGATCATCAGCACTATGGTCATCATCAGCACTATGATCATCATCATCATTGCCATGATGTTCATCAGCACCAGGATCATCAGCAGCACCATCATTATTATCTTCACCAGCAGCACCATGATCATCATTAGCAGCACCATCATCAGCATCATCATTATTATTATTCGCTGCAGTAGCAGTATCATTATCTTCATCGGCAGCAGCATTATTGGCTTCAGCGCCATCGTTATCAATGGCAGAATCCGCAGCAGCAGAATCATTTGCATTATCATTATCAGCAACTTTACGTTAATTTTCATTACCATAACTTACATCATCAGGAGCAGCAGAGGCAACAACATCATGATTGACATCACCAGCACCACAGCATCATGAGCAACATGCTTGTCATTGCCACCACCATCATCAGCAGTATAATGCATCATAAGTAGCATCATTGTCTGGATAATCAACAGCAGCAGAGCATTTATGTACGAGCCTTGTCTGTCCGACCATCTGTAACGAGCAGGCACTATAACCTTCTTAAAGCTGATCCAGTATGAACGAAACTGTGGTATGAAGTTGTGTTGCTATTCGGGACTTCACAGTCATCATCCTTGAAAACTGCCCAAAGTGATCGAACGGTTTCCCAAAACTTGGAGACAATCCAGAGAGAAAACAACTACGAGCAAAAAATAAAAATAAAAATTAATAAAAGTAAAATAAAAATAAAATAAAAATCACGACGTTTCGGAGGCAACACAAGCTTCTATCTTCAGGTGGAACCGTCACAGCATGATAGCTGTTTTTTTTTACCTACGTGACTTTACCGAAAAAATCTAAGAATATGAATCCTTGCAGTCACGAAAGCTTCAAATCTAGAACTACGAGCAAATATGCAAACGTGTTTTGCCCTGACAGCTGCCAGCCAGCTTATAAGGATGAGCAGGAAAGCAGCCGGCGCCAACAATTGCCCATAGCTCTGCGGTCCTCTACATATTAAGATCTGTTCAACCAATGAATGTGTGAGGAAACTGGAGCATTCTAGATTTGAAGTTTTCGTGACTGCAAGAATCCATACTCTTTGGTTCTTTCGGCAAAGTCACGTAGTTCAGCAGTTGTTTCTAACTGTTGTGTCCCACCTGATGACGGGCGCTTGTGTTGCGCCCGAAACGTGGTGAGTTAATTTTTTTATTGTTTATTTTTTTTCACCTACGTGACTTTACCGAAAGAACCAAATAGTATGGAAACTGGAGCACCCGAAGAAAACACAGACGTGCAAGGGTGCAACGCTCTATCGCACACGGACGAAACATGTGGAGTCCACATTCTTGCTGTACCGCCTTCTCCTGGCGAGCCAGGGCATGGCTACTACATTTGGGAACGGACGTTTTGCTGGTAGTTACCACCAGTGCCATCAGGCAGCTTTTAATAGTGGAAAATGCACGTATTTATTTGATAATAGAGTTGTCACATGAACAATCCTGGTAATTCAATTGCTTCAGCACACCGGTACTTAACGGTTAAACGTTGTGAAATGCTTTCCAACACACCGGTGTGCTGAAACAGTAAATTAGAACGATTGTTTACGGGGCAACTTTATTAAATGGCTGTGTCGGGTGGTGGAGGGTTTACAACACACGTTTTAGTGAAGCGGCGATCTGACTAGGAAAACAAACTATTATGAATGTGTGAATATTAGCGTTGCTTGCGGAAGCCAACTTGGTAAATTGAAGTCATAAACGCGCTCGACGTGGGAACCAAGTTTAATAACGGCCAGCTGCAATCCGGATTCGCACTGAGGAACTCAACAATGCCGGCTCAGTGCCCTCACGTGGGATGGGCCCTCTGAACTACACGGCATCCTGATTCACTCCATTATAACGGGAGGCTTGGCACTAAGGTTATTAAATTCATATGCTGCAATGCACACTTCACGTTCCTTGAACCAATGGTCCAAACAAATGTATATCCAGGTCTCAAATGTGTTTGACAGCAAGGTCGCCGTTGTAGCTTTGTATGAGAAACTCCAGAGAGTTTGACGGAGATTATCGTTTTGGGGGTAACATCGAACGTGATATGAAACATCTACACAATATGAAATAACAAATTAGGCGTATCCAGTAAGCAAATGATAAACCCGCTAAGCTTTATGGCTACGGTGGACCGCTCTTGGACCACGTCCTTAAAAAGACACACGTGAGCATTTCACACAAAGACAAAACTCCCCCGTATAGCCTTAACAGACTGTTTGGGGGCAAGTGGTGTTAGCGAGCACCTACGAAAATCAGCACGGCACACGAGGGGGTGGGTGCCCAGCACCACGCCCGGTCGCCTTTGTCTCCCCAGTGACGATGTTTACACACGACACCAGGTACTCTGGACCGAAGGGAGGCCCAGGACCGGTTCAGATAATCGCCACTGCTGTTGGCCTGAGCGGGAATCGAACTCGGGTGGCCGGGTTCGTAGCGCAGCGCGCTAACCGCTACGCCACCGCTCCCCGCACGTGGCACACGAACACGCAGCCGTGGCGCACGCACGTGTGAGTCGAGTCTTGGGCAATCCGTTCTTCAGGCGCGCCATCTACTGACGAACAGCCCAACATACATTTTATTGATATTCAGTTGTGATTTGAAGCTTTCGTGACTGCAGGAATCCATACGCTCTGGTTCTTTCGGTAAAGTCACGTAGAAAAAAATAATAATAAAGAAATAAAACACGACGTTTCGGTCGCAACACAAGCGTCCGTCTTCATTTTATTTATATTATTTGGGTCTTTCGGTAAAGCCACGTAGATGGCTTTACCGAAAGACCCAAAAATATGAATTCCTGCAATCACGAAAACATTAAGTCAAGATTTATACATTTTAATATCTATTCATATAAATGTGTTTAGTAGTAGAACGTAATTATTACGGGGTTTTCTGGTTACTCAGTACTGCAGCGACTATTAGTGTAACGATGAACGTGCCAATTTAAACACCGGCCATCAGGAAACATAACAAACATCTCATCAGGCCCCATGGTGTAAACACGTGCAAAACTACATCAACAATAATCATTACAATCTAGGCCCTGTGTCAATCCACTGCTGGATCACTGGTTGTTTGACCATACAGTACTTGTACCCTGGTCAGTACGGGTTGGTGATGCCAGGAAACATAGATGTAGAGTACAAGTCGTTTTTGCCACCCTCTACTGGCAGCAGCTCAAGACATGCCCTCTAATAGTCCATCCAAACAACATCCAGGCTCAAGCCTGCTAGACTTGAGATCTGACGAGATCGGGCACATGCTGAGTAATTTGGCCAAATTATACAGTAAGTAAATAATACAATTTAAATACAACCCTCAGTCAGCCCTCTGCTGACGGCATTCCCATGGAATGGCATGGGCTTCGTTTGGCCATACTTCACCATACTGGTCAGTAGTTTGAAGGGAACGGCCAAGGCTTGGAATAAAACTGAGGTCAGAGTTCACAGTGCAGTCCGCTAACCACTATAGCGACCACTCAAGCTACTCCAGATACTGGAATACCCGGAGAAAATACAACACGCATACGAGTGGGTAACACACAAACATCTCTGCACAGATGAACTCAAGAACCCATTGTTGTACTGTAATATTGTTAGCGCAGTACTGTGTGGCTTTGCCTCTTAGTAGCTGTCCACACGAGCATGCCATGTCACACTGGAGTCGCACTCAAACCCACACAAGGATTCGAGGTCAAGCTTGTACTGGGAATGAAATCATGACCCGTACAAGTTGTGTCTGTCAGATCAAATTTATTAAAACCACGCATTTTGCAAAAATGTTTTAAGAGGAACATATTTTTTTCAATATTAATATAATTGCTAAACACACCACACAAAGCAATCTGTACATATTCCCTTCCATAAATATTAACTCTGTAATTGTTTTACTATTTAGTCTTTACGTTGTGTTACACATTGGAAGTTCTGCTGCTTTTCTGTCACCTCGGTCCTTTTAGTTCTTTGCTGTATGTGGTGGTGGTGACACTGGGTCACGATTTTCTTGGCTCAGGTCAAACACCTCTGCCATTGGCGTACAAGGCACGTGTAAAGTACAAGACGTAGAATCAAACGTTGGATTGTTCTAGCCTCGCCAGATGACGACGACCTGGTATTGATATATACACCCAAAATAAACCTGTGGTCAAAAATGAAAACAACCAAACGAAGCCTTGAGAGGACAATTCGGGTGGCGACCCTCCCTCGGTCATGAAGCAACTTCCCTCAATGCTCTTGGGAGGAAAATTCGTTTTTAGAATGCGTCGAAGGCGAGGCGGAGTTTCGAGCAAAACAAAGTGCGACAAAGCGACTCACGATTTACTCCACGCGGTGGCACAGCCTTGCAGATGCCGGACGGAAGGTCCTCCACTAAGCACTCTGGAGAGCCCCTCCCCTTTATAGGGTGATTGGCCTACTCTTCCACACCGGCCAAACTTTACCCAACCAAACACGATCTTTTTGATCGACTGCGGTGTATCCATGCATGCTTCAGGGTGGAAAGAGACGTGGTGGACGGGTGGGTGTTAAGAAGCTCGCGTATCGTAACAACTGCTGTGCTGGGAGAACCGGCCAACTCTGAATTGCAAGTTCTCTACACCAGGGTAGCATCCCTGCTATTTAATATATTATGTTGCCTTTGGTTGGAAAAAAATAATGAGGTGGTTATCAAAAGCATTCTGTGAACATCATGCAGCAATGCGGAGGCGTTTCCAAACATCACCTACGATTCCATTCAAACATTCCACACACTGAGGACCTGTTCATCAGTCTGCATGGAATGGTTGACCCACATAAGGCATAAGTAGTCGTCTTTGTGAAGCCCCTGCTGTAGTAAAGGTGGACGGTTTTAAACACGAGTTTTAACTTAACATGACACGCGCAAATACCTGTGTAAAATAGTAACCGTATCAGAGGCGGCACACTGACAGTTGTTGGATTGGTAGCACGAGATTACATTGGTTGTATTACATTTATAACGTAACCGATTCGTGTTTAACCACTAGTGCTGGTCCACTGTATTTAAACCTATGTCCAACTGCTTGGCGTTTTCCTTACAAAATCCTTCAAAGATGCGCTGCGTGGACCTGTTTTTGTGCACATGTTGTATATATATATATAAATATATATTTGCGGCGTTGTGAGAACGAGTGATTATTTGCAAACATCATGGGAACATTTTAAGAAAAGCACCAATATGATTAAAATGTTCCACATGGACTCAGCTAAACCACCATTAACAATGAACTGGGATTCACAAAATTGTCCAAAACTTGAACTCCCACATATGATGATGATGTGACTTCAAAGAGCTGTCATGTGCGGCTAAGTCACCTTTGAAAAATAGTAAACAGCGGAATGGGCTTTATCTTGAAAAGCAAATAAAAACCCAACATGTCACGTGATAATATACGAGCGTGTTTCAAGGTTAACCTGCACTTTTTGATCAAGATATTCCTAAAAGAATAACATACCGCTGCAGGAGGTTGTGTGGAGCGTTAGTGGTATCGTCTAGAAAGTCACGTGTGAAATTTAGCATTTCCAATGCGGTGGCAAATGTGCCAATTGCTGTACGATGGGAAGTGCTGCTGATGTACAATATCACGGCGGTCTAAATGTACAGGTTAAAGTTCCGTAATGCGTGTATCACACACACACACACGTGTGCTTTAGTGGTGCTAAAAGTTTGGAAGTGCAAAAGTCGGTCAACAAGTGGTGAGGAACTGAAAGCAGTCGTCTTGAAAAGGGCTGCATACGTGCCAGAAACGATCTTAAATCTCTGGCATCGCAACAACGGAATGGACAAAAGGGGTATTTGTAACGGCAGAAATTCTTGAATTCAATTTAGAATTTTCGATAACTATAAATGAAAGATAACGTTGAGAAACCCTCAGTGCATGATGTATTTTAGAGAATGGGTGGAGAATGACAGAGGGTGGGATAAGGTACTCATTACACACACCAATGCCATTATTCCTTAATGCAGAAAGCCCTACCAGTAATGCACTTGTTTAATTACGTCGATTAGCACACGAAGACGGGGCGGGCTTCTGAAGAGAGCCCAACAGGATGGCTTGAAACACCGTATTTACAAACACGTTCTCAAATATATTTTTCCCAAAAGCTCCATATGCGCGTACTGCATGAAGTACGAATCCTAAATGAAATTGAGCAAAACGTCTCATTAAAACGCGGGGCTTAGAAATGCAAACACGGTGAAGGCAAATCTGCTAATATATTTTTTGCTTTTCTTCTGAAGAGGCGAGCACATTTTTTTTTGTTGACACGTGACCGACCACGATAAAACCACAATGCACCACATGCACAGTACTGGGCAATACAACGGGAGGGGGGGAATGCAAATCCACAGCACAGCAACTGTTAATAAATAAACTCATGGAGGGAAAAAAACACGAGCTCATGGTAAAGGTTTACCATCAATTCATGCTTGTTCAATGAAACTTTAGGGCAATGCAATTATTACCACTCCCGATAGGTTTTCGGGTTTCACTGCGTGTTGTTCGGCAAGATGCCCAATGTTTCAATGCAAGTTCTGGGAACTGCTTTTAAGAACTGAATATCATGTGCAGCGAAACGTCGGACATCGTCAAAGAACCCAAAAACAACATCGAAGACCTGACCTATACACGGCACAGCCACGAAAACCCGCTGCAATGTGGCGTGTCCACTATCGTTCTCCTGTTTCTCTAGTGTTGCATTATGGTCCCTCCAGCTCACGACGACTTATTTCAGGTCTCCACCACGCAGTGTAAAACTAATCTTATTTACATTCTGTACTGCGATACTGTTCTCTTTTTTAGACCGACGGCTATATCTGGCAAGCACGGTGGAGTTATCAATTTTGGAAGCGTCCCCATAGCGTGTTTTCCGATCCACCCCCTGGTCACACCTTAAGCTCTCATCACCGCTCTCCCCTCGCCCAAATATTTCCCAGCACCACTGTGCAATCGGGCGTCTCGCTCGGCGAGGTGATCCGGCTTGGTTAAGAACGAGGCTAAGTGTAAAACAGATTACGAGGATGTTATATAAACAGGGCATGCTCCAGCATTGGTGAGAGCCTGAAGCTTTTGGATGGAGGGGGGGCGGAAAGGCAGTGGGTGTGGCGATGACTCCCCTTCGGGACACATTGTACAATCCACTGCTGGATGAGGGCCAACTCACGCATTGCAGGTCAGGGGTGGGACTGTTGATACTCTATAAATTTGAGGCTCAGGGAGACAAGACTATTTTGCATCAATCCTGGGGAGGGGGCTCCCAAGCCCGATCGGTCATGGAGGTTGTTTGACCATACGTCGTCATGCTGGTCAATTCGGGTTGGCGAAGACTAGACATTAAAGAATACAAGTACGAGACAGCAACAGATGTTGCTGCAATGCCCCCCCTCGTCGACCAGCGGTGCACAATGATCACTTATTCAAGTGCCATCGAGGAAAACGACTCGGCTTGGCTTATTCAGACCCGATAAGAATTCGGGGCATTGCAGGTGATTGGGTTATAGGCAGGTCTCACGTGAAACGCGAGTTGAAAGGTATGTGGCGAGCGCTGCCCCCCGCCCCCCACACATCGGTAGTGGCCAGTGGGGGGACTTCTATAACACTGACTATTTACAACAATGCACTGTATGACAAGGGGTGTGTGTGTGTGGGAGGGGGGGACTTTTTCCTTACCGAGGGCCAAATAGGAGTTTCAAATACCTTTGGCAGGTCACGTTAAACAGACACACACGAAGCGCAAGTCTCTTCTGTCACCGCAAACAGGCCCTTTGCGGCGACAGAAGTTACACTTAAATTAGAAACACGCCGGTTGCCAGACTGGAAGTGTGCAGCGGAAGAGAAGAGAGAAATATCTGCGGGCCCTTTTGAAGTGGTAGAACCATTGTGCGGTCGAGGGCCCATCTGTAAGTGTCGCGGACGAGCCGAGCGTCACTCCGACCACCCTTGTTTAGGCCGAATGCGAGCGAGCGATGCACCATCCTCCACGAGTGACATTCGGAAACCAACGCTGTACACGGCGAGGAATTCCATTCGAGGTGTAGGCAGAAAAGGGAACAGCACCTGGGAGTATAAGCCGTACTGGAAACGGAATTGGCTCTCAGGCAGGCGACCAATGGCCAATGGACAGCTTGCGTATCAGTAATTTAATAACTTCTGACAAGCGATTCTTTTCAATCATGATCACTCCCCATTTCCCATTCACTGCAGTGAGCAAGTTGCATTGAGAAGCGATGTCGTTTTCAATTAAGACAATGAATGTACAGTTTACAATTGTTATACACTGGCATATCACCTCTGTTAAAGAAGCTATGTTCAAAGTTGTGAATCCGAGCAAATGTTGATATTTTCATGTGAGAGCCTCTAATACAGGACATTCCCCAGCACCAATTTAGCACCTTGATATTCCATTTTGTCACCGTACAAATTCCGAGGTGCTGTGCCAATTATCCTGAGAGGTGTCGATAATTAGCAGCTTGGACGACTCAGCACGCATTCCTCCACAAGTCTGGTCCAATGCAAGTGAAATACTGTTCGTGGAATTATTAAATCACAGCAAACTGTACAAACAATTTACATTGCAACGACAAAATTATACACTTTCATATTGCTTATTGTAAATTATATATGCATTGTGTATATTTCCCAAAAATATCAAACGGCAGAAAAACACAAGTCTTATTATTGTTATACTAACTCTTCGCAAATTAATTTACAAAGCAGCTGATAATGCCACGTCCCATTTCAACCACCACACGCCAAACGTTATTGAAGAAATCCTTGGGCCCCCCCTCCCCTGCACCGTCAAAAAAGCGATTGTTCATTTCCTCGTGATGGACACCTGCACGGCAGTGTCGACATCAACAACAATTATTATTATTGCGTGTGAATTGGTGAACGTGGCCGTACGTTTGCGGCGGTGGGGGTTGCAATTGTGGCCGCCCCGCTCCCAAGGCGCCAGGGAACCACGGCCATCGAACGCTAAACTCTAGCGGCTGACCAAAGCCCTCCCCTTCACCACCTCCGACAGCCACGTCTGTGTGCACAGCCCACAGACCGAGGCATCGGATTGATTTTCTTCCCAGTCACTTGCAGAATGTCACTCCCGTCTCCCCGCCGCACACCCCCCCTCCACATCGAGAGCAATTCTTATCCTCGGGTTTCCTCTCCCTTGATCCATTTCATTCGCCCATTCTCGTGGCCGTCAAGGCGCGAGTGCACTTTATTTCCCCCTCGTCGGCGAGTACTGGACCCAAAATCCCGTGCCCGTTCGGCGATGCGCGTGTTCCTCTGCTGCGCCTCTCAAAGAGACGACTTGAGCGTGCGTTCACGTCATCTGCGTCCATAAACTTTATTTTTTTTGTCATCCAGCACGATCGATGTGACCACGGCCGAGGTGGAACGTACCGGGGCTGTCACGCGTTACAGCACAATCGGAAACCGGACAACAGCATGCGTTGACACAAAAGTTAATTTATCGCTCGTGAGCCGAGCTCACGTTTATACACGTGACCATAGCCCCCCCCCCTCCCCGCCCACAAAAACCTCTAATAATTGGCGCTCGCTGAACAAATGATCAGTCGTACCACTCTACTCGGAGCACCAGTCAATATTCATCAAATTTGAGTTCGTGGCAACGAGACTCGTGGTCGATAATTCTAAAAGCAAAAACGGGCAGTGGCGTTTGTTATTTTCAAATATCTTGAATATGTTTTGTCTCAAAAAGTGTACAAATCAACGAGGACACGTATAAGGGTGCCCTCAGTGCATCCTGACCAATCACCTGCCCCATTCCCAGCAAAACACGAATAAATCAGACCCCCCAAATATAGACAAATGCTATACATGACAATTTAAGATCTTACGATGGCCAAACATCGCCTTTCCATGCATACCGAGGCATTTAGAGTATCCCACCTTTAAGCATTCAGCACTAAACCCCCACCCTCGCTGTAAACACAAGTGTAAAAGAGCACACATTATTAATATTCACGTAAACTACGTGCCGTGGTGCAAGTAATGCCCACCAAACGAGCTTAAACCGAAATCATTAAATAATTTCATTTTTAAACAACATGCTTTTAAAATAATTGCTCACACATAACATTTAAAATGCATCTCTTACGAAGTGGGAAAATAACAAAAATTGGTCGAAAGGATAAGTGTACAGTCAGGGCTTGAATTCAGCTGGGTCCATCCAGGTAGGTGACCCGGAAAATATTCCTGGCACCCAGCACTACCAAGTCCAGTAAACGTCTCGCTATGGCTGTGGTTACTCGTCACGTGTCTACTACAGTCTAGCAGCGACCCAGAAAATAGGCTCCGGGTACGGTTGGACATGACTAGCTGCTGCCAAGTTCGATAGCAAGTCGGGCAGAACACAACGGCAGCAGCCCAAGCAACACCAGCCACCAACTTCGCACACCACCCAAACTCTCCGCAGACTCCGCATCAACCAACACCAGCGCGGCAACCGGTTATAAAAGGATATAAACACGAAATTTCATGTGTTGAAACCTTTAACCCGTTCGACGACGGATATGACGGTTGACAGATGACAACACGATCGTCTGCTCTGGAGACGATCACGAGATTTTGCGTGCAAGTCGAGGCCGGGCGATGACATCGGGGGCGCAGCTTTAGCAAAAAGTTTCTCAACGTCTCCGCTGGCACACACTCGGCTCACGAGCTCCCAACACTCTTTGCCACTGCCGGCGGCACGAGCCGTCGGGGGGGGGGGTTTCCTTCTGCCGTCTGGCGTGGGGGGGGCAGCACCTCGCGACCAAACCAGGGCCGCCGCCGCCGCTCCCTCTCCCCCCACCTTCCTACACAAGCAGCGAGCCGAGGTCGGTGCCAATGTCGAAGAGGTCACTGATGCCCTCGCTCTCCGCCAGGCTCCACAGGTAGTCGTCGGGACCGAGCGGCGGTGACAGGGCGACCAAGGGCAGCTCCCCATTGGTCTCCGTCTCCCAGGGCAGCTGGTCCTCAGTCTGCATGAGCAGGCTGCGTCGCGGCGTGCCGAGCGGAGACGGGCCGCCAGGCGTCGCTCCGTTCTCTTCGACGTTCACCGGCACGGCCAAGCAGTTGACCGATGCGCCGTCGAGGCTTAAAACGTCGTTGCTGCCGCACGCCATGAGGGCCAATGCCAGGTCTCTCCTCACCGAGTCTGTAGAACCAGGCACCACGCGGAACACTTAGGAGGTACATTCATTATAGCTATAGGTTAGAGTCGACTGCTACGGCTATGGGCAATCGTTAAGTTTACAGTCACTTTCAGGGGCACGTGTTAAGATGTGTTATGTTCAGAGTAAGTTAAAGGTTAGCATCAGTTTTTGCTACCCATGGAGAGTTATAGGTAAAGTAAGTTACATTTAGGGGCATGTTATATTTGTATAATGTAGCTAGATTTAGAGCAATAGACATAGCCATGGTTGATACATGTGTATATATAGTTAATAAAACATCCAAAATGCCAAGCGACCAGCAGCAAACAGCACTATCAAAGTTGTAATTGATAAGAGTTAAAACACGTTTCTTGAAGTGAAGCTAGGTTATTATAAAATCTTGGAAAGAGAGACGATGGGAGGAGGGGATTCTAAAGTTTAGCGGTGCGAAGGAAGAAACAGACAAAAGTGTTGTGATCTGCAGCGTGGCGAGTGGATGAGCGAGTTGGTCAGAGTATGACCTGCAATGTGGTGAGTGGGTTGGTTGGTGAGAGTATGACCTGCAGTGTGGTGAGTGGGTTGGTTGGTGAGAGTAGGACCTGCAGTGTGGCGAGTGGGTTGGTTGGTGAGAGTATGACCTGTAGGGTGGTGAGTGGGCGAGTGAGTTGGTTGGTGTGACCTGCAGTGCGGTGAGTTGGTTGGTGAGAGTATGATCTGCAGTGTGGCGAGTGGGTGAGTGAGTTGGTTGGTGAGAATATGACCCGCACTATGGTGAGTGGATGAGTGAGTTGATTTTTAAGTGTGACCTGCAGCGTGGCGAGTGGATGAGCGAATTGGTTGGTCAAAGTATGAGCTGCAGTGTGGTGAGTGGGTTGGTTGGTGAGAGTATGAGCTGCAGCATGGCGAGTGGATGAGTGAGTTTGGTGAAAGTATGAGCTGCAGTGTGGTGAGTGGGTTGGTGAGAATGTGACCTGCAGAGTTGTTGTGGTTGAACAGTGTGGATAAGACAAAACAATCGGTCCAGCAGAATGAATCCTCAACATAGGCAGAGGAATCAACAAGTCAAGTTCACAGGTTGGTAGTAGCGACAGATAAATGATAAGGAGGCAGCTGACCACTGGTGAGCACGTGGTTTTTGAGTGATTTATGTTGAAATATGTTTAAGTATAGCGATGGAGAAATCGGGTGTTCCGCCCCAGATATGACGACAGCTTTTCAACTTCGGCCAAATCTGCGCAGCATGTACTAGTGATTATTGGTTGATGCCATCTTTGCAGTCATTAGGCACACGTGGATAAAGGTGAAGACCCCCACCTCTGCTGGTGGCGTCCGGCGACCTTCCCCGCGCCTCGCCGGAGGTTCCCTGCTGATCCGGAGTGCACGGCGTTAGCTCAGAGCTGGCGCCGCCACCGCCGCTCGTGCCACTCATGGGGCTGTCGGGCGCCTCGTCGGGGCACAGGTACACCTCGATGGGGCCCCGCTTGCTCAGGAGGTGCATCCGCAGGTTCTGCGGAAGCGGAGGCAGAACGCGAGACACGGATAAACTTCAACGATTGGACATGGGCGAATTGTTTCCTGCGCCTACGATTTGCATGGTTGGATACGTACGGTGCGAAGGAACGTCAACATACATCGGTCACGTGAGAATTGTTTCCGTCCCAAATCCGTTGGTGGTTTAAATGATCGAAATCGACAAAGCTGAGATTGGGAATGGCTTCTGTTGCTAGAAATAACGATGGTGAGAGAGCACGTCTCCACGCTCGACTCCCCTTCTGGCGAGTATTTTGTTACTTCCTTTGGGCATTCTCAGTGTAGCTGAGATTGCCCGTTGAGACGCACAACTGAGGGTACAAAATAATCAAGTGAGACAAACTATTAAGATTGGCAAGAAAAGTTAAATATTTTTTGTTGCATAAAAGTTGCATTACGTGCAGATGTCTCGTCGGTGAAACAAAAATACTGCAATTTTTTCAAAAGGAAACAGCCATGGATCAATTGTCTGAAAAAATTAATAAAACATCACCATCAAACCACTGCTCGATGAAGGCAGTGGATTCTCACGGCTCTACGATGCAAAAGTCATTAATTTCAAGTGCTATTGTGCCGGGCATTTGTAGACTACGAAAAGGAAATTGATGGCCATCCAAGCTTTCACAAACAGAAGCCTCTCTTATATATATATAAAAATGTAAGATTTGTAAACTGAGATTACATGAAGAGATCTAAAAATTACAAAAGACTTAAACAAGGACTACAGTACAGCACTGCATTAAAATGTTAATCGGTGACTATTTTATTTATTTTATTTTTACAACAACAAAAAAACTCCCTGCTGCAATACTCCGTGTGCCGAGGGTTCATGCACACATGGCGGGGGAGGCTGAGACCGTGGCCAGCTCCGCCACGTGCCACCTCGGAGTGACTTTCCTCCGCGAAAAAATCTACTCGGGATGCACGGGGCAGCAATGCCAGCGACCGAGTGAGGGAGCGGAGGAGAGGGCTGAAGGGGAGAGGGTGGGCGGGTTAATGTTGGCCACCACTCAACAGCCAGCAAGTAATCTTGATTTGAAGCTTTCGTGACTGCAGGAATCCATACTCTTTGGTTCTTTCGGTAAAGTCACGTAGGTAGAAATAAAATAAATCACGACGTTTCGGGCGCAACACAAGCGTCTATCATCAGTACAAGTCCAGCCCTTTTGCTATGCACTGCTGGATTAGAGGTTCATGGGGGGTTATCTGACCAAACAGCATCACGGCTTGTCAATGCACATTGGTGTCATATTTGCCAAGTAATTTTTGCTCTTTCTCCCTTGTAGACAAATTAACTCAACTTAACAGCAACAAAATTCATGGAAAAAGTTTCATGTGCCTCCCCAGTTACAGACGGAGGTAATAACGCATTAACCCTTTCAACATTTGGTGGAAAGTGTGAACATTTTCCGAAAGAAACGCTACAACACAGATAAGTGGAAAGAGACAACGAAATGTAGAAGGGCCGCTTCATCACAGAACCACGGTGCAAACAGTCTAGGCTCGGGCCGGAACGTTTGTCGTCTGCGTGTCGAAACTACATGACTAAACGAATTTGACTTTACCAGGTAAGACCCACTGAGCTATACAGCTCTTTTTTCAGAAGCGATCATGCCACAAATGAAAGCTCAACAAAGTGGCTTATCATGTGGAAATGTATAGCAGATGAATACTATAAACGCATGTTTATAACTGTGGAGGGATAGCCGGGAGGATTCGGGTAAAAAATCCAGGCGACGACAGGGAGACACAAATGCCAACTCCAAATATACAGCAGGCGTCGGGGGGAATCAAACCCACGACTAACCTACTGCATACCAGGCGAGGAAGTTAACATCTCGCCTCCACTGCCCTACACCCACAACCCGTCCCCTTTGGCTACCTCTGCGGGATCCTGCACTTCCAAGCGCGTCTCCGGTGGCGCCTTGACGGCAATGACCGTCTGCTCGCGCAGGCTGCTCACGCCGCGGATGTCGTGGTACGTCACGTACGCCAGCGTGAGGCCCCGGCACGGAGGGGGGCAGTGTCAAGGGTAACAGCGATTATGTAACGCTCACAATCAATCGCAGTAATCCCCTATCACTTACGCAAACCCATCCCAATTGAATGCCGACCGCAAAAAACGTCAACGCTAAAACAGACGATCAGCCATCTCCTAGTCGGTTAGTCGGAGTGAGCGTGACTCCATATGTAGGTCAGTCTGAGAGTTGTTCCGAGCATTGATCATAGTGGATCATCATTGAGAGTCACCGTACCTAACCTCGCCCACCACTTCCCCAGCCCCTTCCCTAACTTGTTAAAAAACAAACACGAACGGCATCACTTTCAAAGGCATCACTTTCAACCCTACTTGCAAAGTATTCTAAAGTAATCTCCATTCTGCCATTCTGACGGCACGGAGCTCCCCCCCCCCACCATCCCCACCTCGTGGAGGTGCCACAGCGCTCCGAGGCCAAAATGTGGGGCAATGTGGGCACACAAGAGAGTGGCGGCAGAGTGCAGGGAAGGATATCTCTGGTTGTGCGAGTCCTCTGTCAGTTGCTTGAGAGTGGCCGTGCAGCTCCCGATGAGGTCGTCGAGGGCGCGCTCCTTGCGACTCAGCTCGGACACCTCCTGGGGCAGCCCTCGGGCCTGGGTGCCAGTGTCCAGGGGCGACTGCCCGCTGAGTAGTAACAAGACACAAAAAAAGGTCCCCAATGGAGCCGTGACAACATTGTTGGGAGAAAGTGCTGTTAGGAAGCAACTGTTGAGGCCGGCAGGCACACAAGAGGGTGGGGGGTCAGCACCACCCTCGGCAAGCTTTGTCTCTCCAATGCTGATAACTACACGCGGCACTAAATGTTTACACATTTAAGGCTGAATCGACTTACGGGAGGCCCTGTACCGGTTCAGTTATTCATCACCGATGTTGGCCGTGAGCCGGAATCGAAATTAGGTCATTGCGTTAGTAGTGCAGTGCCCCTAACCACTCCACTACCGCACCCTCACACACGCGTGTGGTCAGGCACATATACACACGGACCCAAGCACGCATACGCAAACTCACGCACAAGACACACGAAAAACATATGCACACACCATCACAAAGGAACAAAAACAAACAAGCAGAAGCCCTCACTCCGACCGGATCACCCCCCCATCTGATCTCCGATTCAGCAGCCCGGATGGGACTACTTACACCCACTGAATGTGGTTCTTGGACTTCTTGCGGATGAGGTGAATGCCCTCCAGGACATTGGTGATGTCGTAGATGCGCCGCTTCTGCACGGCCAGCGTCTCGGCGGCGCGGTTCAGGTCAACGACGCCGTCCGATGATTGGTTCATGAGTCCCAGGAACTTCTTGGTGAGGAGCCCGAGCGAGGTGTCGTAGCGGGAACGCTCCGACGGCGACTTGGGAGCTTCCGTGATGAAACACGCACGCGCACACACACGCACACATACACCACCTCGACATCAGCAATCATCCTCTTCATCCCAAAAAAACATGAACGGCATTTGGGAGGAAACTGGAGTAACCAGAGAAAACCTTCACATAGGAGGAGACGATACTCAATGGTCCCCACCTATCTGTTGTTCATCTTCTTGGCTATTTCATAGCCGCTTGGGTTTGGGATTTAAAAAAAAAAATCTACTTTGTCTCCCACTTACTCTGTGACCTACAAACACGAAGAAGAAGCACCCCTAAGAGGATGACCACCATGGAGATGAAGCAATGAGATTTGCTAATACGTAGAAGCTTGGAGGCTTTGCGTTGTGGAACCGCGAGGGTTGACGACAATTCGTGGAGGCTTTTATCAAGCAGTGGATAGACCATGGCTGATGAAGATGATCAATGCCCTGCGTTTCACTTCTTAATTTTCCCCTGAACAGGGCACAATCAGGGTACTTCCCTTTCTGTTTGTGTGTGCCTGTGTATACACACGTGGGCGTGTATGTGTGTGTGTATAAAAAGCAGCCATCTCCTGCTTATTTCCTTTGTTTTCATGTTTGTACGAGCACCGAGCCAAAACACGCTGGGTGGTTGCAACCGCTTTGTTGAACGTTTGCCATGAAAATGTCACTAATATGCCCAAGGGGTCAATATCTTCCCGCAACTTTCTCATTCCTGCTACTGCTAAACATTGCGCACGACTTGCTCTCGGCAGAGCTTGAGAATTACCGGCGCTCAGCAATCCACTGCTGGGGAGAGGCCAGGAGTCGAACTCAGGTCGCCGTGCGAGCCGCGGGGGGGGGGGGGTGTTATTTGAGCATACTTCAGACAATGGTCAGTGCGGGTTGAAGTGGATAAGGTGGCATAAATGTAGGGGCATAGATGTAGAATACGACGATGGAATTGGTTGAACTGCCCGCTTCTGCCCACCGCATAGCCCCACAGGCAGCACCTTCTAACACCGGTATCCAGCCCATGGGCCGTAAGGTTTCCCCCACCCGTGTGTTGTACTTTGTGCCGAGGGTCGTGCGCACGTAGCGTGGAGGCCATGGACCGAGGCCGTCTCCGCCACGCGCCACCTCGGAGTTGCTCTCCTCCGCGATAAATCTACTCGGGACGCACGGGGCAGCATTGCCAGCGACCAAGTGAGGGAGCGGAGGAGTGGCCCTATGGCAACCTGCTTGTGCATGCCAGTCGCCCATCCGAGCACTATGCAGGCACAACCTTGCATAGGTTACCAATTCTGACACAAGAGCAGGCACATGCCGGCTAGGAGAACCAGCAGGTCTCTGCTGGTGTAAGAAGATTGACTGGCAGAGAGGTCAGAGAACTTAGCTGGCACCGCTAAAATTCTAGGGTGGATCCCAGGCAGCCGTTTGTGATTAAACTGGGTTTTAATGCGTAGCAAGTTGATCATATCAACCCCGTCACCAATGACGACATTGGGATAAATTCCAGCCCGGAGAATTAAATGATCTGGCAGCATGCACCTAAAATTGCTCTCATTTACAGAGTGAGTGGGAAAGTGCTGCCCTCTACTGTGTCGACCAGAGGTCACTTAAAGGAATCTCGGAGGAAGCTCTATACTATCTGTTAAATGCTATATTGCATACAGCATCTAGATGTGGTTGCATATCCATCCCATATAAAATCCACGTGCGCCAGTTTCCTCCCATGTGCTACTCAATAATGGAATTGGCCAATAAAGAATGCTCACTATATAATCACCACTGATGTTGGCAAGGGACACGAGTCAAACTCATGTCGACGGGTCCAGTAGAGTTCCAATCACTACCCATGCCACCCGAAAGAGAGACAAGAAAGTATCTCCGTAGTCTTTACAGGCTTTTGGGGCAAGTGCCCTTCGCGAGCACCTATGAAGGCCGGCACGGCACGCGAGGGGGGTGGTGGCTAGGCTAGCACCTTGCCCGGCCGCCTTTGTCTACCCAGCGATGTTCACACTCTGGACAAGGAACTCATTTAAGGCAAAGCCGACCCAGGGAGGCCTTGGACTGATTCAGATGTTGGTTGGAGATTGTTGACCGAGTGGAAATTGAAGTTGGGTCTTTGGTTTTGTAGCAATGCGCTAACTACTGCTCCCTACACAGTGCCACACGCGCGCGCACACACAGGTCGCGTGGTATCCCCGTGCACTCACTGCGGGGGCTGTGCGGGCGATAAGGCGTGCGTCCCTTCCCCCTGGGCGTGTGGAACTCCCCGCTCAGGTACTGGTGGTCAGGAACTTCCAACTCCAACTTTCTCTTCGCCTGCATCACAATTCACACGCAAAGACAAATACACAAACATGCGTCAATTAAGACAAACCTTCCACATTCATAGCTCAGACTACTGGGGCAAGTGCTCCAATATAAAGCATCGTACTCAAGATTATAAATGTTGTGGCTTGGCTCTCCAACACACCGGTGTGCTGTACTAGTGACGAATTGGCCACGTTCTGTTGACGTGACAACCCTTACTAGTTGGCTGTGTCAGGTGGTGGCGGGTTTAACAACAACATTTTTATTTACGCGATATAACCCAAAAAAAACTCTATTATGGATAAAGCATCTTTTACATATATTCAAGCACATACAAAAAGTACAAACATACGTGCACACGCATGCAACTGCACAACAAGCCATTTGCCACCAAGTGACATCACCAGTGTTTGCGCCAAGCTAGGTGCCCTCTTTATACAAAATGAAGATACGCACACATAAGAGGGGGTGAGGAAGAAGTAAGGAATGAAACAAGGAGGGTGGAGAAAGCCAAAGGTGGCATCACGGTGTGGTAGCGCAGCGACAAGATTTCTGCAGAGTTTTGTGGTTCAAGCCCTGTGGCCATCCTGGTTAATACTGAACGATGCATTAATAAAAATATATACACACGCCGTCATCTTCACAGTTGACGTTAAAGATCCTGTGCCGTTATAAAAAAAAGTAGGCCACGAATGCCAGCATCACGGGTAAAAACTGCATACCGACGTCGCCCATACTAGCAGACGAAACCCGTCGGACAAACAGCGCCTTTGTGATAGCCTCCTCGCGCTATAAGAATGGTGCGAATACCAAACGTGCTAAATTACTATTATTACTATAAAGGGGGGCAGGTTTTCAAGGTTTGCTGTGGGTTTGGGGGGGGGCACTCGGCATGGGAAGGAAAATGCAGCGGCCGACCACCCCGGTGGGGGGGGGGGGGGGTTCTTCAATTACGCAACGGACGAGTCACACAGCGGCTTTAGGGCAGTGTCAACCCGCTGGCTTTTCGCTGGTGCCTCGACTGCTGCACATCTTTTACCCATTACAGACGCGCACGAGATGTAACATTGCCGAGGATTGTACTCTGGTTGGCTTGCAAAAAATATATAAAATGAGTCGACGTCGAATGGAAATTGTTGATGAAGTCGCCGTTGCTCATTTTGTTGGCGCTCCTGAATATTTTACTCCATGGCCCTTTGTCAAAGCACTGTTAGATGATGGCCGCTAGCCTTTGCATGCCATGTGAGTTGTGGGGGTTGTTTGACCATACTTCACCAATGCTGGTCTGTGCAGGGTTGGTAAGTGGGGGGGGGGGGCAAACCAATTCAGATATAATTCGGCACTTAAGTGAACCACGAGCAGATATCAAACTCAGGTTTTCGGGTTCAATGCACGACGCACTAAACATTACGCTACCGCTAATCCTATCCCTCACACTTAATATAATAATGGCGATAGAAGTTTGGTATATTTCTTATTATCACCACCGGCATAATCATCGTCACCGTTGGCATCATCATCCTCAAAGTTCCACGTATTGCCTTCCTTCAGAATGGCGCACCAGAGAAATTCCTCCGTGCACAGCCATGTGGAGCGTTCAGGAAATGGTTCAATTTATGGATGAAGTAACCGCACAGGCATCGCAAGCCAGGAAAAAAAAAAAATCTAACGCAAATCGTAACCACAACTGAAACTTTCAATGACACATTCAAAACAAAAGCTGCAGCACCATCGCCACCAATAACAAAAATTTACAACCTTCATTAACCTCGGTCGGAAACATGCACGCATAACTTAAATCAACGGGGGGCAACGCCTGACAAAAGTGAGCGAGCAACGGCACCAGCTCGCGAGTGAGAAGGCGGGCGGCCCAAACTCCATGCAGGAACTCCTCAGCGTCTGAGGGACCAGACAGGAAACAGATGGTGCCTGCGTGAGCATGCGAGCGCACGATTGACCATCAGGGTCGACCAGCTCTCGCTCGCGCCGAACAGCACCAGTCGACGCTAGATAAGCAGGAGAAAAAACGGTTCGCGATGCTGGCGCAAGTTCGTTTCTGCAGTGCAAGCAATCAAGTTTATTAATAAGCTCGCGAAAATACAATCGCGCGAGAAAACGTTCCTCGTTTTTTCCTTATCAGATATTGCCTTTGGGAATGGCCCTGCTGGTGGACTACTTTGCAATTCAGCTTTATTTTTATACTGATACCCATGACAAGGATCAATTAAATGTTTTCCTTCCAGACTTGTTTATGCAAGTGAGCCATCCCCAAGCAATCATGGGACATTTGGCTTAGTAGAGGAGACTTAGGGCAAATTGCTGCTAGCGAGCGCATATTAAGACTACCACAGAATGGTGTGGACAGCACTAGGACTGGTCACTTTTGTTTTCGTACGAGTGCTGATGTGTACACACCATACTAGGTACTCGTAGGTAGGCCCAAGACGGGCTCAAATGCCAATTCCGACTGATGTTGAAAGTTAAATGTTTGAGAATCTAACCTTGGCCCTTGGGATCACGATGCATGCAGTGCACTAACAATTGGACCACGACTCCCACTATATGTAATTACATGTAAAAAAAAGACAAATCCCCCGTAAAGCCTTCAGACTGTGTGGTGAGAATCACGCCTGGCCACCTTTGTCTCCCCAGCCCTGATGTTCTTTTAAAAATACACGAGGTACTGTACTCATTTTAAGCCTGAGTAGACCTCGGGGAGGTCAAACAACGATGCATATATTACTCCCCTGATGTTGGAAGCGAGTGAGATTCAACTCGGGTCTCTCGGTTCAAAGTGCGGTGCACGCTCGTCACGCGCTTCTGAGTTGGTAGACGTCTCCGATGCTTACAAACGGAGTGGTGTTGTCAGAGGCGAGAAGCAATTGAGCAATAATTTTGGGCGACTACATTGAGATAACAATAGCAACGTTCAGCACATCGTACAGCGAATGTGATGATGACGATACAATTCAGGCGGATTTTTAGAAAACGTGGTTCAATGTCAGTGGGAAAAAAAAGCCACTTGCCCAATCCTGCCAGCCGCAAATGATTGCCAAGTCCAAAGCAATTCCGCAGGTGAGCACTCCTTCTTTTACAAGTGAAAGTGAGCAAATATTTATTTATGTAAATATTTATTGTTTTATCTGATTCCATGGAACCAAATAACTGTGAGTCCAGCAACCGTTTGCTGTTTTCATTTGAAATAAAAAAAAACTGAAGACCATTAAATATAGCTTAAAGCTTCATCGACAAATAAACACATTCCTGCGGAGGGAGCTGGTAGGAACGTTGGGTTGCTCGGTCAATGGCCAAGGTCAACGGCGGCGTGGTGTATTCCGCAAATATGCCCGACTGAGGGCGGGCACAAGCCGGCGTGAGTAGGTTAAACGTTGAGTTTTATAAGGGCACCACGGGGTGACCAGCCCCTCCCCTCCCAGCCCCTCCCCACCCAGCCCCTCCCCACCCAGCCCCTCCCCACCCAGCCCCTCCCCACCCAGCCCCTCCCTGCACGATGGACGGACACAATAATCCCCTGTGGGCTAGTGTAACCAGAGGTTCCTACCAGTACAATTTATTTTAAGGATTCCATCCATACATCTTGTTCTATTAATTTGTTCCAAAACATGTCATTTTAGAATGTGAGCACTTGAGATTGTTTTCTTCCACCGTTTTCTTTTCTGGTTTTACACGACCAGGATGATTAAGGTATTTTTCCTTGCTAATACTTTTCCAGTATAATTACCTGCAAATTAGCCAGTTTTCAAAACAATGACTACCCCTGCATTCCAATCCAACTGAAGGGCACAACTTAAATGTCCGTGGACAGTTGAAACAACCTTGAAACACTGGTAAAATGAAAATTGTATACTGCAAGATAAAAATATCTAAAAACCCATACAAATAAATAATATACCAGGCTTGAATACAAACGGTTTCAATTTAATTCAAGCAAAACTAAATATTTGTCATGGCACAATTGGAAGAAAATAATTTTCCATCCTAACGTTACTCCACTGCTCATGGCTTCTCAAGACCGTATCGGTCTTGTTTGACCATACTTCACCCATATTGGTTAGTACAGGCTGGTGAAGAGGGGGGGGGGCAGGAGCAGTTTTAGGTATCACTCACCATTGGCAGTGGAAAATCCACATTTCTACGGCAGGAAAAAGTTGCTATAAAAGGGACAACCGGTTTTGACTTTCCACAGTATTGGTAGGCCTCATAACAAGTTAAATCACGGATGAAATGAATTCACTCACCCCTGCACGAAACAATGGCTAAGACTCTTTATTCCATAGTCCAGACCCTCGGGAGAAATGTCGACAGGCAAACTACACCCTCACTGTCAGCAGCTGTGGGGGGGCAAGCACAGTGGCCCATTGACTCTTGTCTTGACAGGGCAACACCTGCTAGCATCAACTCCGACCCCCCTCGAGTGACAGCACAACACCTGCTTGGGCACCCGCGGTCAGATTCCATCGAGTGGCGACAGTCAAACTCACCCAGGGAGATTCAACCACTGGTTCTCACTCGATGGGATGGGGAAGCGCGCACTCAACAAGCGCGTGCACACACAGGCGTGCTTGGGACGCTCGTTCGATCGCAGCTGCCCGGGTTAAGAAGCGTCCGAACGCCGCATTTTACCGGGCGACGCTGTAAGGGCTGGTGACACCAAAGCCACACATGAACGATTTTAAACAAGAGCGATAACGGCATGGCTGCTATTTTTGTATCACTCCAACTCTTAAGTTGAGGAGCAGGCTTTCGCATTTCGGCAAAAAAGGCGTCTTTCGACCGATTTTGCCTTTTTAAAAGTGGCACTTTGCATTTTGTCAAGGGCCACTCTCCAACACCAAAAATCTGGTGGAGATAAAAAGGCCTTTCATAAAGATGGGTGGCAGGCTCCAAATGCTTTTTTTTTACCCTACCATGTTAAATCCGGGTGTTGATATTTTTTACTAATGCCCAAAAAATTCTGCAAAAGTAAGAAGTAAACATTAAGGCAAGTT